GCACAATTTACTTTTCGGGGCTTTCACTGTCAATAAAATAAAATTAATTGGGCTTCCAGTCCTGCAACGCAAACCTGTTGTTACATTAGCCACCCCCTAATTTAACTTTGACCACTGTCGAGCAACTCTGTACTTACTGCCAATTGAAGAGGAAATGGGTAATTTAGTATTCTTGGTGGTTCCTGTCAATTTTTGGGGAATTTGATGAGAACATATTGGTGACTGCGAATGATTAACCTGGTTAATAAAGCGGAGATTCGTTTGATGTTCTCAATTTAGCTTCTCGTTTAAAATGTCCAGACTCAAGTCAAACCCAACCAATCAAAAAATAATCACTTTGTATGTCTATATATCTAGTAAAGTTTAGGCAATATTCTGCGTCTGACGAGTTTCACACCCGTCTCGGATTTCCCAAAGTTCCAAACGTGCAAATGATTTACGAATGCCGTTGTCGTAATTAAACAACTTTGTTGGGGTTTCTTGGAAATTGTGATAGCAAACCTGGCGGGGTGTGGCTGGGGGGGTGTGCCCGGTCTGGGCGCCATGCTTCCCTTCCATGGAGCCGTGATGGACTATGCTGCCGTTGCAGCGGGCTCCTTTCACCCGAGGCAGTCTCCTGTCAACCAGCCATATGTCAACCATCATTCCTGGTATGAGAGCTCCATATGCATGGAGAACCTATTACTTTGTAATTGATAACTTGATTTCATAAAATATAAGAAAAGTAGTAATGCTGTAATGTGCAAAAGAACTAGGGTAATCTAAATAATGGGTTAAATGAAAATATGCTAAATTAGCCTTCCAAGTCGATCACAATACCACTCTTACAACATCTACGGCCAAGATCATGGTGACGCTAGTTTCAGAGTGCATGCGGTTATACAGTGTTGCTTGTGTTGTTATCATTATTATTGTCAAGATTGCCAACTAAAATTAAAACTGGTAATTAAAAACAGAGGGAAGCTTACAGTAATCATACAATTTATCTCCACACAAACTCTCTCAGGATTTGCTGAGTAATACTCAATTTTGTTGGAACAATTCTGTCAGAAAGAAACACGTGCCCTTTGTCTCAAGCTCTTCTCTTTGACGCACTGTGTATTTGTTTGTGTTCTGGTTTCATCTTTTGTATTTTAATAATAAGTGGAAGCTCTCCGTGATACCTTTTCTAATTAGAACGCCATTATTATCATTACTAAATATTTATTATAATGTTGGAATGGAATGATTCATACAGCTAATCACATTCTGTATTGATAATGTAGTCATACGCATAAGCAGATATATGCACCTACGCTGCTACCAATGTATAAGAATTGCATTATCGACCACCTCCAGTTATCAATTTGTTTGGATGATAAGTTACGAGAAGACGGAGGCAATTCAGCGTTGGTCGGTCGGGGCAACTGGCAACTTTAATTTACAGTTTGAATTAATAACTTTGAGTAACTACATTGTCAAATCTAATCGAGCTGGTCGTTCCACCCTCAGAGATGAAATCTTGAATGAGCCATGGGAGCCATAAATTAATATGTTGTGTGCTCCCCATCCAACCCTCGACAGAAGTACGAATCCGATATTCTTGATCACTCTTGGCCCTCTTCTTCACAAACAATCGTGTGCATTTTTTGAAGAATATTTATCCACTGAAATTATTAATGTTTTTCCGTACAGACATACGTATGCATGTACTTATGTGACAATTGAAACACATAATTTACTGATGCATAAAATTTGCATAATTCGATACCATACAGAAAGTTGATACATCATCACTACATTTTTGTATAACCCTCCCACACAAAACTTTCTGAGCCGATATATGTAAGAAATCAGCAGTAATAGGGTACCTTTTTCTGTGAAATGCAATAAATCAAAATTGAGGCTCTGCTCATTATGAACAGCCTTCTTTTTTGCTAATCTAATCACGTAATCTAAAGTAACCACCCAGGTCCAACCCTTTTGCGTTATTCGTGCAATACGCATTCAAGCTACAATTAAAATCGAGAGTGGTTTGTGGCTGGTTATTAATTGTGATAATTTTCTTGTGTTGACAAACAAACAAAAAACGAGGTCCCTTCACTTTCTGAGACACGTGGTAGATCGATACTACATCGAAAATTGAGGCCAAATGAGATTTGAACGGCGAGAGTGCATATTATTACGATGATTTGCTTTTATTACATTTATTTATTTTTACATTTCTCGAGATGTATTCAAAATCATTTGTATACGTGAAGTGAAAGAAGAGTTCATTTTTCTGCTAAATTCTGCGAATGACACCTTTCTCTTCTTCTTACGTACTTTCTCGTCACATTCGATTTTTGGTTGGAGTCTGCTGGTGGATAGCCGAGCCCCCTGACTTCTGTTCTGTTCAAATTGATTTAGGCCAAAGTTAGAATGTGTTACGATCGTTGATGAAGCCTGATCAGATAGATCCGTGGTGAGATCCTTCTGCTCCTGGTCTGGTCTGCCAAAGCTCCAGAGACGTTTCTCTCAGGAAAGAAAGGAGGCTGGGAGAATAGCGGGGGATAATTTTGTTTAGAAATAAGGCAACTCGTATTACCCAAGAGATTCGGATATTATCCGGCCATCCAATTTCAGCAATCGAACACTTACTTAAACTTTCTCCTTCTGTTGTATGCATCGGCCTCCATGTTAAAGTATCACTCGTCTACGTATTACTCTCAGGAATTTCTCCTCAGTTGCGTGTGGTCTACCGACGTAGTGCATTTTAAAGCTCTGTGTACATATGTATATTATGTGCCTTGCTTATTTTCCTATAATATGTACTATGGCGTCTGCTTTCAATTCTGAAAGGTTGGTTAAACCGAGGAAGAGTGAACAGTTAATGAATAGCAAATCAGGAAATGAATTCATCTTTGCATTTAAATTGGAACCAATAAATGACCAACCGGGTTATCGGAGCTGAATTGTACATTTGCGAACGTAATGTTGAAAGTAAACGAACATAATCAAGTGCCCCAGAGACTGACTGCCTGCCACCCGGGTCATCATCGTATCATTTCCAATCATGTCATAATCAAAACGATGACTCGACACCTTGTTCTCAACTATTAAATAAGTCAATGCCCCCCATCCGCATCGTCACTCTCTCTCGTTCTGGCTGACTTTTTATGTATGAAACCAATCCAAAAGATGATTAGGCATCCATTCCACACGCCCCGAAAGTCCAAACAGCACCACTGCCATCCAACCACCCTTGGCTCATTGCTAAACACACGCCGACCGACCCCAAGGTTGCTTGGGTAATAAGGGTGTTAAATTTAAGTCCAATATTGAATGCATTTTTTTTTGAACCGCAGATCAGGCTATCTACTTAAATATTTCCTGTAGCGAAATAGTGTGTGATACTCGCATTATTATCACAAACTATATACAACAGGTCCTTGATGCTTGGACATTATTAATGTGGATATTATGTAAATCAGGGTGGGCCTTTGCCTCTGCTCAAGAATCCTATTATGGGGTTCGCACCCACATTTGAGGGTATGCGATGTAAAAAAATGAATTTCACTCCGACAGACACCAAAGTGAGGAGGAGGTCAGTATACATATTTGTTATTAGTGTTGCTGGGTGTGTGTGTCTCCAGCGTTAGTGAGGAGAATTGTATAATAAGTTGGAATCCGACACCGATGGAGGCACGGACATATAATATATTATGTATCCGACAGAGGCTAAAGCTTTTTAAAATTGATGATCACGCCTCGGTCTCCTTCTTTCACTCACTCAACCGTTCACCCGAAACTTTGTGAAACCCAAGTAAAGTGGACCAGACCATATCGTCGGCAGCATACACGTAAATACGAACGTATAGCTGCGACACAAGTACGCGAGGGATGATGGGGTCCAGTTCTCGGGAGAATTACTTTTCAAGTGATGATGCGATGAGATGCAACTTTCCTCTGCTCCTCAACTTGTGTGTGCCGTGGTGGTAATGGCAAAGTGTGAATTGAAAATAGGATTCCCTTTACATTATTGTTTTACATGTCCAAGCTTTATTGGTGGCGACACACACGGGCGCATTTGTGTGTGCAGGCTTTAAATATTGGTCACTCACTCCTTACTCTCTCGGGGTGTGTAGTATCGTCGTCGTATCATCATGGATGTACATATGTGCTTTGTACGATAATCAATTATTTATAATTCTACAAAGTTGGATTATTCTAGGAGGCGCATATTCCTTTAGCTATGTTCAATACTGTTTAGGTATACGTGCATGTTAGTTCTAGGGTTGTGATGTTGTGGACAACGCTATTTTTTGGTGTCCATTTTTGCTACGTTGCGTTGCGTTCGATAATTTCAAAATATCGCATCTACCACAAAAGTTCTCAGTTTCTCAGTGAGTGGGCATTTCATTTTCCTTTCTCCGCTCTTTTCCCTGACCATGTTTAATCATGGACTTATCCACGAAATACTTTTCACTTGTACGGTTCACTTTTATGGTTCTCCAGAGGAAAGTTGCATTGTTTTGTAGCGTCCTCTCGAGAGACTTGTTGCCTTTCACTTAACAGTTACCGTTAACACCCTTGTGCACTTTGGTCCGGAACAAAGTGAGAAAAGGCGAGTTGGAAGTAAAAGATTCAGCAGCCAATCGCCCACCCGTCTGATTTACGGGACACTAATAACTATGGGCACGTCTATTCTAATGGTCACTCGGACCATCGGGTGAAATTTCTTTCGCCGCCTCCTTTGTCCACTTCACATCTGATCCAATTCAATGGATGGGAGCTATTTCTATTATTTTCCAGCCAGGACCTTTGCCATTTTCTTTAATGTCCCGTTATTTTTGGGCTAACTGATTCTATCTTTTTATTGAATCTGGTGCCTACATTGCCAATTCATTCGTCCAACTAAACCATGCGAAGCGTTTTTTACAAGTGTATATCTCCACCAGCGATGCAGTTGATTTGTTGTGTCTACGAGTTTTGTCACTCATGCATACACATCTCATTTCGGTTGTTTGTTTTAATTGCAGTATTTTGGAATTAAGGAAGGAGAAGAGCCGAGACGCTGCCCGTAGCCGTCGGGGGAAGGAGAATTATGTAAGATACATAAACCGTATAAGATGCGAAGATGTTGAGGAATCCAAATAAAGATTTACTCATTTTTGGATAAATAGGAATTTTACGAACTTGCAAAGTTACTACCCCTTCCTGCTGCCATCACATCTCAACTTGACAAAGTAAGTCGGAATTTGATATAATTACACATTTGAGGAACATACATATCACCATCATCTTATGCAAGTAAAATAATAATTTCATTCTTCATTTCCAGGCATCAATCATCCGACTGACAATCTCCTTCTTGCGATTAAAGGATTTCTCCGCCCAAGGCGAACCTCCATGGCAGAAAGACAATCCTAACCTAGCCAAGAAAGGTAAGTGTCGTAATAATATTTCACTATACCAAGTCTTACATCTTTTGACGAGAAATGTCATCTCTTGACTTATTGTCCACTCACCCAATCCATCATTATTGTGAGATGCGTCCTGATAACTCCTGACAAAATTGCCAAAAACATTAACTGCAATCACCAAATAGGATTTTATTGGAGGGAGTTTGAGTCATCCCAGTCAGTTATTTTTCAGTAAATCAAGTACGGATTTCAGTATCAACATGATTTCATCTTGAGCAGATTTGAGCTAACGAACCAATCTACTTTCTCCTCCTCAATCGCAATCCTGATATAATGTGATCATCTTATTCTTTATTTATGGAAAGGATTGAGTGGATTAGTTCTGGTCTGCACACACAGTAGTCTCCTCCGGCTTATGCTTTCTCCCACATGTGAGATCAACAACAGACTGGCGGTGTAATATGCTGGATATTACACCAGCAGCCTGATGAAGGATGACAATAGATTGTCAGTGAAGATCAATTTTGAGGAAAATTGTCCAGATATTCGTTCAGTGTGCATCAAATGGTGACGGGGGAGTGAGTGGAGGAGAGAGCAGCGGGTTAGCTCTGGGAGGAAGGAGAGAAAGGGTGAAAATTTATTTAGAGCTGGGAAATATTGGCTGGATGATGAATGGGACGATTGGGTTAGTGTCTGCTGGTCCGTTTGCTTTTGATTTCGTAAATCAAAACCTTATTCCTGCCTAAACCAAATAGGACAGGAGAAGAGACAAACTGGTTCCAAGTCCAATTTTGAGAGCAATAAAAATAAAGTGCAGTTGTTAGACGCATTTGTGGTAAACTTTTATTTATTTTCCTGAATTTCGGTAATATTTTACCGCAATTGGAATTCATATTGTCACTTCTTCTTCCTTCCTTTCTTCCTCTGCTGATGGTATTACATGGTTGTGATGACAAATCCACACACACACCGACCGACAAAAACACCCCTACAAGCCTGATAAATAAAATATTTCAACATGATCAAAGAGTGCATGTTAGCTCTCCTCAGCTTCAGCAGGTTGTAACTCAATTACAATGTCGAATGAAAACATGAAATGAAATTATGAAAAGCACATGGCTGAGAATACTCGACTAATTTTGATCAATTGGCTCCTTTTCATCCAGCCGACATACGCATTTTTTTACGTACGTATCAACAGTATCGACTCCTCAGCTGAATGCGTTCGTATCTCTGGTTCTGACCAAAACGGAGAAAGGACTTGATGACTAATGATGCACAATAAAAATCCAAATCACACAAAATAGGGATTTATTCCGGTCTCTAGAGTCTGACTATATTTATTCGAGATTCCTCAACAATTTTGTCAACCCTCGCCCTGGATTATGGCGTATACACACATAGTACGAGTTGCATGATGAGTAAAAAAAACTTATACTAAATCCGCAATCAGGCTGGCTACGCATCCCATTTCTGGTAACATTTCGAGGATCGAACAAGAGAAAATTTGTCTGTAGAATTGGGAATGAGCTTGATGAATGAGCGCACACATGTGTATTTTCAAGTGTTGATTAAGGAGGATAACTATTGGGAATCAACTTCACTTTCTAGCGTTTGCTTTGATGGTTTCAAAGTGAGTGAGTGAACTCAAGGCCTGACCGACGGTAATGAAATCATTTGAACCCGCACTTTCTCGCCTCTAACGAGACCTTTGTAGGTAGCTCAGGAGAAACATCCCCAACTTTTTCATCGGCAATATTAAATTACCAAACTGACCAACAGACTTGCTTTTTCGGCACTTTTTCCTCACAAGTTAGCTTTTGTTGTTGGGTTGCGTAATTTTGGGTTGGATGCCCAGCTCTGCAATTTTGTAGAATTTTCAAAATAAAACTTTTACCAGAGAACTACGTACGTACATAGAAAATTTCTGAACATAATGTTTTTTTCTCTCTCTCTCCCTCTCACATTTTATCATAGGAAACCATGAGTGGCGTGGTTTTTTAACTCCGTTTTATTGAAACAGAGAAGAAGGAAAAAGATTTTCAGCTCAACCCAAAAAAAAGTAGCAAACGATTGATGTCCATCGGGACTCGTGCTTCATTTTTTGTGCCCATATTACTGCCCAATGGTCTGGTCTCTAGAGCTTTAGTATTGGGAGAAAGAGAAAGGGTTGCGGTTTTGTAAGACGGTAACGAGCTTATAAAAGTGTGACCAGCATTAAATGTACCATGCATTTTTAAAATGCAATTTTCGCTTCCCTAATTGCATGAGTAGAGGAGTCCAACTAAAGTAAAGTTGACTTAGTCCTACAATAAAAAAATTGGTGAAAATCAGTATAAAAAGAGAGTTCATCTCACTCCAAATTTACTTTGCTCGCCTCCTTGCTTTTGGGGAGTAAATGTTGTTACTCTTGCCCATATTTACTGAAGAACTGAGGAAAGTGCACTCTCTCTGTCTCTCTCTGCAATATTAACTTTTTCCAATAGTATTGGCTGGTGAAATGACAAAATGCGTTGAGCTCCCAGCACCACAACACTATGAAAATGGAGGGGAAGAAACGTCAGAAAGTTAATCGGTATTCAGTCGAAATTCAGTTCCCGTTGTTAGCAGTCCAACGGAGAAACGGGCGCAGTTCGTGCAGCGAATTTGTGAAAAGTCCAGAGCTTTGAGACTTTCCCTTTGTTGTCTCTTCACGAAAAGAAAGTGCTGCAATGCACTGCAGAATAATATCAGTAGCACGATCGCACAGTGGGATTCTCACTATACGTCTAGGAGACCAACATATTTGGTTGGGCAAAGTGAGACGGGCTCCTCGTGCAGAGGGTTGTTGGTAGTATTATTAGTATGCCTCTACCTTGTTTGAGGATGCAATAGCTCATTTATTTCACTTTTTCGTAGCAGAGAGAGAATTAGCTGATCACACAGATTCTTTCTTCAAGTTTGAGATTTCTTCTTCTTTGTGCTAAGACCCATAATACCAACTTACATTCCTCCGCGCACCATCAGCATTGTTTGTTCATGGCCTTGTGGCGTCTTTAATTCTATTTGCCCACAATTTGAAAATATGAATGTACATACGTAGGAGCGATAAAAGAAATATGGCAGACGGCGAATATGGTGCAAGATTTATTCCCAACTTATTATTTCAATATTTGTCAAACCATGGAGTTTTTAGGGTTGACAATTCTGGAACAATTTTGAGGACCAGTTGTACCCACAGAGAAGAAAAGAAAGGACGAAACCAAACATGTTGCAGTGACAGTGTCACAACAAGAAATAATCAATGGGAAGAATGTGATCTGCCTCTTAATCGAGCGAGCGATGGTAAAAATTCGAAAGACATGATACCGATGATGACAACCATCGTTTTGTTCTCACTCGTCGTCGTCGTCGTCCGTCGTGTTTGTCTCAATTTTCCCTTCTTGCGGCCGTGAGAGCTGGATGTGGTTGAGGAGAAGTGGTGTTGGTTAGTTGGTGGTTGCCTTTCTTCTGGCTTTTTCGCCGTTGGTGCCAAATATGTTTCCTCCATTCATTTTTTATTTCATGAATATGCTCCCCATCGGATTTAAAGCTTCAAATAAATCTCCTCCTCAATCTCCTTGTAAAATGTTATTGGCCTGGATCAAAGTTTCTGACACGGGAATCTTGTGTGTGATGTTATAAAATTTGATCTTTAATGTTTATGAAGAGAGTCTATATTGCCAACCACAAAAGATGGATGAATCTGAATTTCCACAATTTGTCCACAATCCACACACATTTTCCATAATAATCCCATCAATAACATTGTTCGGCTACAAAATTGAGCCCCGTTCCCTTCTTTTTGATTTTCATTTTATTCATCATTCAGGGTTGTTTCCACCAGATAATGGTGCGAAGCTAAAGTTGGAAATAATAGGACAATTATGCGAGTAACTGTATTTTGCTGTTGTTTTCACATCCAAATAACTCTCAACACCCGTAATGATAAGCTATACAAATGGGGTTTTCAACTAAAAAGTAAATAATCGCGTAATTGCTACCTTCTGCTTTTTATCTGTGAAGAAAAGTTCAACCCGTCCTCCCCTACCAACCCTTCCACTCTTTTATTGCCTAGAATCTTCATTACCCAACCATAAAATCCATCTTGGGCATAATTGATAAAATAAAAGTGCTACTTATCACATCACAATTTCTTTCTGAATCGCATCCATTTTCCAGAATCAAAATTTCATTTTGAGGAAGGCAAAGAACACGTTTGAATTTGTTGGTGGTTGTTTGACGTTTCTTAATTTAAACATGAAATCAAAAATACTATATATATTTTGCAATTTATGTTATGCAATATAAGTATGCACAGTGTGCATACTTAAGTATGTGTGTGTCTGGTTTGCTATACACGTACATAAATACCCGAGTGCTGTGGTATAATATGCTGTGACAATTGACAAAGTAGTTTTTGTGGCTGTCACCTCAATAATGAAATGAAAGTAACTAAAACTAAGGACAATAAATTGTTCCCATTATTACAAGCTACGACCCCAAGGCAAGTAGGACAAAGTCAAGTCAACACGAGTCTCGTCGGGTGTGAAGCAGACGGGGGTCAGATCAAAAAATTAGCCGTGAGTTTTGTCGCCACTTTTTTCAGAGTCCAAGTTGACAACTTAATAGTCTCATTTCCTTTAGGAATCCGGGCTGGTAAAATAATGGCCCGCCGAGCTTTCCTTTGATATATATTCCCGACACCAACACATTTATAAAACACTGATCAACTTGATTACTTTTTACGTACAAACAACGGCATGGGGGTTACACCCTCATCGTCCTTGTCTCATTCAACAATATCTCCCGAATGTGCATGTACCAGACCCTACAAATTTATTGTCGCACCACTCTTTTCCTCCTCGCCGTCCGTGTTTTCATTAAAATATGGAACTAAATTTCCTGTTGCATTTCTTGTCTCATAATATACACGTCCAGTTACTATATGTTCAAGTACATAAACAGTATCAACTTTTGACGCATATATTTCTTTCGACTATGCACAGTTTCTAATTTGATTTACCTTAGATGCAAAGTAGGTTTTGCTGGCACTCTTGTGGACATGCATATTTTGTTGGAGAAGAAATCGGGGCGATTGAAATTGTCGCAAAGACAGAAATGAAAATCCTTCCAGTCGTCTAAAAAAGAGAGCTGGAACATGATTTAGTGAATTCTCATCTCCTCCTTAATAATCTCGCTGATGATAAATTGCCCCAAAATTAAATAAATTATTCCCACGACACTTCTGTGCTCTACGGCACAATCTGATGAGAATTTCAGTGTACGTACTGGGGACGACTCAAAGAATAAAGTCAACTAAATTAATAATTTCTTTGATATTTCAGCAAATGGAAGACCTCGCTCGTCTGGCAATATAACACTTGACCTATTCGAGCAACACCAGGGAACTCACATTCTCCAGGTACGGAAATACCCCAGCCGACCCAACCAACTCGATCCATTTTTTATTACAATTTCCACACTACGAGTATCTCAAAAAGTGTTAATTTAATTTAAAATTGTATGGTAGATCATGCTCATGATAAGTACGTACAACAAGCCGATTACATTTTGTTAACTTGTTCTAATGGTGTTATTATATCCAACTCAATTAACTTTTCGTATCGCTAACGAGAATTTCATCATTTGCCTTCGTGCAACTTATTATGATTGTAGGTTTCCGATTAATGTGCGTGTACTACATAGTAGAAATCGCAATTTTACAACCACACTACACCATCCGCTTGCAAACTTGAACCCATGATGGATAATCAAATCATGCCATAATTAAATGCGTGCATATATAAATGCATATTTATAGAAGAGGAAAAGCATGAAATTACGTACGTAAAGGCAATGCAATATGTATTAATGAAAAGTTGTATAATACATAAGTAAGAGGAGTTGAGAGCAAGTAGGGAATAATCTGAACTGAAACTATGAGCACATACGTAGGAAAGAAAAGAAATAATCCCGGCCGGACTGCAATAAATCATTTATTATCTCTTTTAAAGTAGTGGTAACCTCTGAATTTCTTTGCAATTATCTTCATCCATGTGGTTTGGTTTAATGAAAGTAATAATTATGAAGCGGATAAGTGCATTTAAGTGAGAGGAGTTGTAATGGTGGTGTAGTGGTTAAAATTGGTGGAAGTGTAACCGCTGCTGGCTATAATTCCAGTGTTATTACAACAAAACAGAGAGAATAAAAGGGTTTGGTTGTTAGCGCAGCCGAGTTTGACCATCGCATATGTATGTAACTGCTAATCACAATTCGTCAAAATCATAACACCCTGCAATTTCAAGCATTTTATTTTGGGCAATTAAAATCATTTACATTTCAAATTTATACGTTCGAGTTATGTCTCGTTGTTGCAAATTCAGAGGCATTATGATTTTCCTGGGGGTGGGCAATTGTGCAACTCTCAATTCAATAATAATACTTGCGCGACGTTATGTGACAGCGTAACAACATTTCAAAAATAATAAAGGCGTATTATGTTCATCATTCAAGTTACTATTTTACGGTAAAAAAAGTAAAAGTAAAAGATATCGGTAGTAGAACCGTCACCGTCGCACCACACACGTACACACATAATGCGCCCAATTATAATTTGACGTCTTTGTCTACTTTGTCTTGTCAAAATTGGCTCGAGGTCATGATGAACCTCTTTATTATGCTGCCTTTCGAATGTGAATGATGAACAACTTCCCCCGGATTACGCAATAAAACATGACCAAGATGATGACTTATTTCAAACTTTTTTTTCATATTTTTCAGTCCTTGGACGGCTTTGCATTTGGCCTGGCTGCAGATGGTCGCTTCCTCTACATTAGCGAGACGGTTTCGATCTATCTTGGACTTTCACAGGTAAATAATTTACAACAATGAATGTATTGTACACTTGGAAATATGTATGCGTATGCTTTCCTGTTTCATAATGACAAGTTAATTAGCTGGTGATCATGTTTATTTGACCACCAATCAGACATTCGTTCTAATTAATTCCTACATTATATAAGCAGCACATAGTATACATGTAGCTACATAATATTACCTTATACAGGGCTTATCTGATTGTTTAATCACTGTGCAAGTTAAAATTACACGCCCACCAGGACAGAATAACTTGCTTTGCAAGCACTATTAGAATTTTTCTTACTAGATAATGAGAACTTGCAGGCAATTAAAATATATAAATGTTGTGTACAAGAACGAAAATTTATATGACTTGATTTAGAACTCTGTCCATTTTAATTATGATGTTGAGTGTGACACCGGATCTGTTGCTTGTTTAGGTTGAGATGACTGGAAGTAGCATATTCGACTACATTCATCAACAAGACCATGCCGAGTTGGCTGAGGTAACATTCAAGGATCGAATCATCATTGTAATCCCCGTTGTTGGTCAATGTAACAATGTTTACTACGTGTTTACAGCAACTGAACCTCGGACTTTCCACCGGTCCTGGTGCTAATATTCCTTCACCTTCAGAATCTGAAGATGGTTCTTCCCACTCAACCACAAATAATCCTGACGGTGAGTAACTTATACGTATTTAGATATGTGCAGATGAAGAACCTCCTCGAAAGGATCCCCTCTTAAAAGAAAGCTAGTTAGATTTGGTTTCAATTTCCATTAACTCATGGCTACCATATAAAGCTGTCCAACAAATTAGATTGGATTTTAAAGCTCACATTTTAATGGTCATTTCAGGTATTATTTTCATTCCATGAAGGTATGATGGCTGCATATTTGCATCAGATATCCATGTATACATGAACAAGTGATATATTTGTTACTTGAATTGGGTTTGGCCATATACACACAGAATCAAGAACCATCACTCCTACAGTTTGAGTAAGAAAATTGCATTCAAACAAAGTTTTCCAACAATGTTACGGATCGCTGAGCAGTTTTAGTCAGTTTTAGTCTTTGCCTATAACAATTTAAATTAACTTTGGTATGAGACACGCATTGCTAATTAAGGAGAAGAGGATGGAAAGTTGGGGAAAGTTGGTGCAAAAGAAAATTTACAAGGGCTTTGTGGGGAATACATTTTCGAGTAAAGCAGCAGCCTTTTGATCCAGAATGGGGTTAAAATGTAACAAGATAAACTCTAAACTCTGCAGTTTTATCTCACAAACTTGTATGCCAGGTTCTCTCAAAATATACATTCGTCGTACCATTATTGTTTAGATTTTGCTGTCTGCGTACATATTTAGTTTACTTGTAACTTATCACGACACACATAATGCGCATTACATAAGTATTAAGGATATGAAGAATTAAATGCATGGCGATGTTGTCTCCTTATGCACGGCGCGGGGGTGGTGGAGTTGTGGGAGGAGAAGAGAAAGTAGGAGAAGGAGAGCGAGGTGTCATTTTTCCTTTCATTTTTCGTGATTCGAATTATTTTTGAGACGGCTCATATCTCATGTTTTACTACGTGTGAACAATGCCAAGTGGCTCGCGTTCGGAGGAAGTGGTAAGACCGGGTACGGACAGAGGGAAATTGGTGATCCGTGTCTGAGGGGTAGCAGAAATTGATGGCGAATCTCTTAGAGCAGCGGCAAAGACGTGACTCTTACACGCAAAGTAAAAAGTCTCGCAGGAAATCTTCCTCCCTGCCATAACCAAACTCCATGTTACGCGTTATCATCGTTATCCTGGAACCAACTACTCACTTTCCCGCAGGGAAAAGATGCAATGGTCTTCGGGTTGGACTTGATCTTGCACTTTCTCATTAATCGCGGACAAGAATTTAATATCATTTGTCCTTCTACATATCGGCCTTGGGTTGGAAGTTTAGCCACTTAGCAATGTGATAATGCTACTATTCTTCTATACATACTTGGAGATATTTAGTTTCTCTAATGCAGACTTGGCTTTAACAAAACGACAAGGTTTTTGGAGGGAATATTATTTCCAAGAAATTTTCAAGATGCGGAATACACGAAGGAAAAGAAGTTCAAGTTAATGTAAGGAAAACACCTTGAAGGTAGGAAGTCTGGGAGATAAATTGGAATAAAAAATCGTGTTTTGCTATACACTGCAATGATCTCATTTGCATCAGTTGAGAAAAATGGAATGTAAATTCAAGGAGTCCAAATCCTTCAAGATTCGACCTAAAGCTGAAATGATGGCTCATGGCTTTTTGATTCGAGTACAAACGAGAAAGTCATGCATTGACTGGATAAGAATGCAGTATTAGTTGGTTGGTTGGCTGGTTGGTTGTACAAGTGGCACTGGCTGCTTAGCTGGAGAAGCAAATTTGAAATTTATGAAAAGATGGAGAGCAGGAGGTTTAGCCTGATTGATTGATGGCACATAACCTACCAACCTTCGATAACTTCTTATTATGCAATGCTCTAGATCTCACATCCAGTTTACACGTTGCCTTTCCTTTCGCCCTCCGGATCATCATCGTCATCGCAGGAGCAGTAGCAGATTAAGCATCAGCACTGCTTGCTCCTGATCGCCAATTTATTTCCATCTACCTACTCTCGTCGAAATTAAATTAGCATTTTTGGCCCAGCATTTTTCCTTCGTGCCAAGCTCAAGTGATGTTGATGTATTTTCTGACAGAAATGAAGCATCTCTTTTCTCAAAACTACTTTGTTTGATAAATTTGATTGCTCCTTCAATTTATTCATTTAGCGTAGTGCCCTTAAGATATCATCACGTTAAAACGTTAATTTTTTTTTATTTCAGTCAACTCCGTGATGACCCTCAGCAGTGCAAACTACAAAGGTTTGGATCGAGCATTTTGCATTCGGATGAAGTCCACCCTAACCAAACGAGGATGTCATTTCAAATCTTCTGGCTATAGGGTAAGTTGTATACTGTTTGCAGTTTGTATAATGCATACGTTTGGGTCAATTCCCTGTTTCGCAAGTAGGTGAAAGTTGAAGTAAAAAACTTGCATATATCTTAAATTTATGTATATACCTCATGTAATATTAACTAGTGAAGGATGAAATGCATGTAAATTTTGTAGTTATCTTTATCAAGAAATTAATGTACAAAAGCTCCCAAGAGGACATTTAGACGAAATTAAACAAAAGCTTAAGCAAGTACACAAGTTGTAAATCTGACAGTGGTGTAGGTGCATATTACAAATAAAGTGAATAAGAGAGAGACCAACTAAAATAGAGATTGGTGATCTCCTCTCCCACAGAGCACACCATAGAATCAAGCAAACCAACGCGAGGATCGCGTTACTACCGGTTAGTCGTTGTGGACGAAACACTCAATAAAACTTATTCCCTTTCAGATAAGACAAAATGCTTGAAATTTGGTTATTCATTTGACTTGCTGGTTCATAAAGTGCTGCTGGAAAACAAGCAACACTGTTGTACTTTGGTAATATAATACCACAGTTGGACCTTGTACACAAATTGCATAATTGGTGTCTGTGACAAAGTAGGAGGAAAGCGTTCACTGGTGTGCATACTCCACGATGATACACGGCTTCAGTCATGGCTAAATACATTGGATTTAAATTATTGTTTGTTCAACCCTTCCACCAAGCAGACAAATGTGTTGCTGCGAAACCCAGCTCAAAGGGAGAGAGGTTGAGATTTGGTTAGATAATGGGCAACGCAATTTAATGCAACATTTTAATGGGAGAGGAGACGAGATTGAAACAATCTGAAATCGTTGAATTGAATTTATTTGCACAGTTTGGTTTACCAGAAGTTGAGAAGCGTGTACATTGGCCCCTCTAATTTAACTAATTCTTGTGACGTATCCCAATTGTACATCATTTCGTATCAGTATCATAGCGTCCCAAAACCAAAACCACCCCACCCAACAAGGAAATAAATAAAATGATGTATCTATGTATTTACTTATGCTGTGAACCCACTCAGTCTGAGCAATTATAGTTGTAAATGCAAATCCTACTAAAATGTCGCCAGATTGTGTTTGGAGAGGTGTAATCAGTTGAGACTACAGCAGAATTATCCTTACCTTACCCACCAGCAGCTAATCATCCTGGTTGTTGATTCTGCTTAGAGTTCAACCATACATGTGCAACAATGAAAACTTGCATGTTTTTAGAATTGAATAATTTTACCAACGCAATATTTAGTACATAAATGGAGTTTACCCATCACATTATTGTCTAATTGGGATGCTTCTTTCAATTGAGTTTCAGGTTGTCCTAGTTTTAAGCAGATTGCGGCCACAGTATTCCTTCTCGCACTCGAGAAAGTCGCCCCCTCCATTGTTGGGGATGGTCGCCCTGGCCATCGCTCTACCACCGCCATCCGTGCACGAAATCCGACTCGAATGCGACAGTAAGTTTTGTTGAATAAAATTTTCACATTTCGATGCAATAAGTCAAAGAAACCATTCGAAAAGGTATCACCAATCCAACTAATTGTTTCCATTAATTACAGTGTTTGTGACCAGAGTTACATTCGACTTTAGAATTGTCCATTGCGAGCCAAGGTGAGACCCGAAATTTTGCACATTCTTTCTACTCATAGTTCCATAATGCGTACTTAAGGCTTATGCTGAAAATGCTAAGAAATGTGGGGGTCAGATGCGATGTAGTGTATACTTTTGTGCTTGCAAACTCGTTTTATCAATAGTGTGTCCCTTGAAATTAGTCGGAAGGGGAAGCTTAATTGGCTTTTCATGGCTTTTCAGCCAGCATAATCATTAAAATCAACTGAACTAACTCGTCTCAAATTGTACAAAATAATGAAATTGTAATGAATCTTGTCCGAAATAGTATATTTTCTAACAAACGTTCCAGAAACATGCCTGAAATTTTGAAATTGCTTTCTTACACTTTCTAATAAGTAGGTTGGTGTTTTATAAATGAGGAATATCATTTTAAAAATCAATTGCTACAAATATATTTTCACTGCTTTAAAAAAATAATTTTGACTAAATTCTTACCCTATTTTTTAAGGGCTTATCAATGTATTTGATTTGCATGATTGGCGAATGAAGTTCTGTTGCTGCTTTTAGTAATATTGGTAATTATGTATCTATGAGCCTCGTGACTACTCTTCGTGATAAAACTTGTTCGTGCTCTGGGCATATCTGGTAGGCCATAACTATTTTCGCCTTTCCCCTGAAATTAGCATTTTACAAAATTTCTGTTGGTTAACGAATTTTTCCACACTCCCAGCCACTAATCTCACGCTGTTAGCAATATTTACAACTACTTTATCCCATTGAGAGATGAGCAAAGAAATGTAAAGTGCCAAATAGATAAAATTATTACTCATTACAAATACACCTTTTAGTATATACAGCTTGGTGAACACTTTGTGGGATGAATAAAGGAGAATTTGTCAGGGTTATTACAGCAATTGCATAAAAATGCATTAGTTATATATTTCGTGAAGTTCATAGCACACAATTTTACACCTGCATCATTTAATGGTAAATGGGCTTTAATCGTTGTAAATAATAAACACCCGGTGGGAAATAATGCGATAAAGGATTTCATTCAAGAGATGAAAAGGGAGGAGAAGCCAAGCCTTCTTGCTTGCTTTTCCATATTCAAAGTCAAATATTATCTTTTCGAAATAGTTTTGCAATGAGCCTTACGTACATACATAAGTTGTCCATTCATACATTTGTAAAATTCTTCTTGAGTTGGCCACTCAACCCAAACGTTAATTTGCCGCTTATAATTTGTCACTTAACATGCCTTATCTTTTAAATGCTTGTGCCAACTTGCCAACTGTTTCTTGTAAGTAATGACACTCTCTTTTTATGGTTATGATTACCAGCTAACCTCCCCCTGTTCATCTCTTTATAATATAAAACATGTGCTTTTCATTCTCATCAGCCACTTCACGTATTTCTACCTGAAAAGTCCAATCTAATTGCTTCGAGATCTGACAATTTCTCGTAATTGCGTATATTTTCTAATTAATTTATATATATATGTGTATATATGTATTGTCATCCTTTAGATTTTGCGGTGTAGTAGTAGGTACGGGTATTAACGTGGAGAGAATGCGTATGAACTGGATCATTGTTTGCTTTCAGGGTATCAGAGCTCTTGGATTATTCTAGCGAAGAGTTGACGGGCAGGAATTTGTACGCAATCTGCCACGCAGAGGATGTTTCGAAGCTTCGAAAATGTCACGTTGATTGTAAGTTTCTTGATGATTTGTATTCTTGGACTACTGTAAAATAAATACAAATGCTACTTAATAAATACTTAATGCGAACTGTTGTTAATTGCAGTGTTGGGCAAGGGCCAGGTTATGAGTCAGTATTTTCGCGTAATGAACAAGAATGGGGGCTACACTTGGATGCAGGTAAGAATAAAGTTAAAAATTAGTGGTGCTTCAGTTAGTTTACCGTTTTAGGAAAAATTATTTTTAACTTATTCTGCAATTCTTTGATGAGACAAACTTAAGAAGCTAAGAATTATCTTTATAATTTATTTAAGCTAATTCCTATTCTGTATTCTTAACAGACTTGTGCAACGGTGGTTGTCAACTCCAAGAATGCTGATGAGCAAAGTATTATTTGCGTGAACTATGTCATCAGGTTAGTACTCTCGCCATCCTGGTACTACGGAGGATTTATACTGATTTACTCATACATAATCCCTGTGCATTGTTGTTGTTTTTTGCAGTGGAAAGGAAAATACCAACGTGATTATGGATTGCTGTCAATTGGAGCAAGATTGCCCACCACCTGCGGTAAAGAAGGAAGTCTTGGTGGACGAAACTGACCGGAAATCTCCCGATCAAGACCCTGCAGGTACGATAATCTCATTTGCCCCCGACATTATGTATACATTCACATGTAAATATGTAAGATATGGTAAGATGAATGACATCTAAACGTACCGCAATTCTCGAAATGCAGATGGGAGCGGTCATGGTAGAGACGGGTGTGGCCCTCACAATCTGGACACCACAACTCCTCCCGCTGCCAGAGCAGGACCTGCATCCGAACGATCACCGGAAATTCGAGATTCTTGTACAGGTCGAGAGAGGAGAACACCCCACTCGGCCGTTCACCCAAGAACAAATGCTAGTCGACTATCAGATGAAACATCTTCGGTAAGTCGCATCATTTTTATTGTGCGTGTGTACTTGATCCCCCCCGTACACCCTGCTTATACGTAGGTGCATGACTTGTGTAGACTGAGACTATTTGATAAAGTGTGTGATGATGACGATGATGAAGTGCGTTAAAAATCAATTTCACTCTTCATCTGACTGGTGTATGTACCTGAGGCTGGCTGCCAATAATAGCAGTTGCAGAGTTGCGTGCCTCCAAGTTCTTATAGGTAAATCGTGACCCGAAAATTCAACGAAAATTAAGTACATGACACGGACCCACAATAAAATACGTGAACATCATACTTATGCCTTTATCTAATCGAAAGTGCATTGCACATTTACTTTCCGTTCGTCATATATTGTATAGCGCACTTATATGTGAAAGCCTTCCAGAGGAAATGGACACATTTAAGCAGGTCATGCACTGTGCCGTACGTGGAATCTGTTTTGATTGCACTGTTGCTTTTTCTCTTGCAGGTGCTCCCAGATTCGCAGCCAATCTCCACACCGGATCATCTCGAACGAACGCAGTCGGTCAGATCTCTTGACTCTGAACCTATGGTACCACCGTCAGTCGTCCCAACCCCGGTTCAAGGTCCTCAAAAATCAGGACGGAAAAGGAAAGGAATTGATCGAAATTCAGTACGGCAATCCAACTCTTCAGCGAGCAGTGCCACTGACAATATGACACCGTCAGGGTCAAGCAGTGCTGGAATGCTTAGCAGCGGTCATGCTCACTCACTTTCGTCTCCTTGTGCCAAACGACAAATTATTGTACAACAGGTTCGTCATTTTACATATTTATTTTTTGTCTAGTCAGTAAGATACTTGGAGGGCAAAATATATTATAAATTATTTACGGCATAGCAATTAACACAACCACAAAATGAAGTAATGGATGGCACGCCTGGGGGAAACTCGAGCAATTCTTCGCATGGGCATAACGGCAGCTTGACGGCACCAGTTACTCCAGGGTCAGTGGGTCATGACAGTGGATCCATCAGCCCTCATCACAGCGAACCTGACAATTCTTCTGGAGATTCTGCAAGATGGAGGAAAATTAACCATCAGCCGCATGCATGGGAAAGCACTGTAAGAGAGTGACTTTACTGCGTATTGACTATTTCGTGATTAAAATCAATCAACATATAATTATGCATAACTAAATATTTGGGATTTTGCAGGGATCCACTTCTTCAGTTAAAGATTTGGAGCAAGTGATGTCGAAACACCTTCCGGGACGAGAGTCTGACCACGTTTCATCCCTGGGTTCCTCTGGTATTGATTTTAGCACAGATTCACTGCTCCGGCAGCAAGCAGGTCCAAGAACCGGGTCAGCTATTCAATGGGTGGGTCCGGGACAATCTGGACCAGGTTTACCAGTCTCGGCATTGTTGCGTCAATTATGTGCTTCAAGAGAAAGTGTTATTCGTGCCAACGTGCAGGTACTAATAAATCGTTAGTATGTATTCTTACATGTCTTATGTTATTACAATAATTACTAAATTATTTTAGGCTGCTGCGGCTGCGGCCGTCGCTGCTGCCCGAGGAAGTTCCTACTATCCCGACATGGTTCAAAACGCGCTTCCAACCCCACCAGGATCAGATAATTACAACGAATCGCAGTTTATGTTGGGCTCGCACCAGAAATCCGGTTCATCTGACTTTCCATCCCTTGTCCCCTATGCTTCAGTTCCCTCGTATGATTACCAACCAGCAATGACTCCTCCATCCTCGGTTTCCCCCCGGGACAAGCCACCCTATGGGGACCCTTCCTCCAACGGGTACGGGGACCCTTCTTCCCTGTCCAATACCTCTTTCAGGCCACCTCAATCTTACCTCGACGGTGGTCCTGCACAACCTTTACCATTGAAACCTCAAGTTTACGGATATCATCCCCATTCAGCACTAGAATCTCATCAATCCTATGGCAATCCTCTGACTGATCATACTCAATCTCAGTTTTACCCCCCAACTCACACCGGATTCCATCTATACCACCCTGGGAAATCCACTCCTTATGGAGATCTAAAAAATACAAATTGGTATTCCACAGCTTCATAATTCTAATAATTGTCTAAAGTTTTTTAGCAGTATGATTTTGCAATTATTGCATTTTGCAATTATATTTTCTGTGATTTTTATCCCTTTAATGTTTGTTTTTACAATTTACTCATTTACCAGTGTATTCTACACTCGCATTTCAGCATTTCGTCAGCTCGCCTTTGTTACCAAACCAAAACTTTTATTTGTTCAACATCCATTTGAATTTTTTAAATTTCTCTAATAATGAATTTACCTCATGAGCTGCTGGAGTATGTGTCATGTACTAAATATTTCTGCAGATTCAGGGAAAATAATTACTCGATTGCCATATCATGATCACGATCAATGGCAATCGGGTCAGATGCCCATGGACGGACATCATTAATAAATAAATAAGTTTAACCTATTGCATTTCATCACGTACTCATATCTTCAATTACGTCTGTCAGGGTCTGTGTCGATAATGTAGTGTTCTCGTTTTCAAATTTAACCAAATAAATTCATCAAGTGTTGTCAATTCTTATAAACTTTGCAACCGCTGCTAATAATTAACAGCCTGAAATAGTATACGAATATTCCTTACCATTGCTAAATACATTACCACAACCAACTACAAAATAATTGTCTCCCACAACCATGAGTATTATTAATGTGCTGAATATATTTTACGTGACTTTAATCACGTACATACATACTTTGATCGAATATGGGCAAAATGCAAAAGTATTGCAAAGCATGTGACGCTAATAATGAATTATAATCATATTCATATGTTATCATTATTAGGCTGGCAGGCATTATTGTCAGTGAACGAGGCTTTTAGGAATATGTACGTAGGTTTAACTATATTATTACATATGTATACCTCATAAGTAAAATAAAATAAGTATTATAAACCCGACATGCTCGTATTATATGCAAACTATACCCCATAATATATATGTATATGTAACATATCATTTGCCAAATATATCGTCATTGTTGCATTGTTGCAATGTGCGACAAACTGTGTCAAAAAAGTGTGCAGTATAAAATAGGTGCTTCAGTAATAATCTCTGGATGTAATCTTCTTGAACAATGAAATTCTCATATGATCGAATGAATGGATGTACAACTTGTAAAAAAATATTATTACTCAACTTGCTTATTTATTTTCAAAATATAGTGTACAGATAAATTATTATTGTTAAACATAATACAAGTTTTACTGTTTCAATGCATTCCATACGTATGTAATTAGTGTCGCAACATTCCTAATACATATTGTGAATTGTGATGTTGTTTTTATCATCATACGAGTTTACCAAAGTTTCATTTTTTTGTTAACCATTATTATCACTATAATTTTTAGCATGTTTGTCGATAATTTATTTATTGGTTTGATTGAAACGTGTCAAATAAACTTTGCAAAAGGAATAATAATTATGAGATTCGTCTTTTAATTGCGCTACTTTAGTAATTTAGAAGGTCTTTCAGACATTTTATTGACTTTCTCCACTTTCACCCAAAATTTCAGCCGCCCCGCCGTCGAGCTGGCCCTCGTCACCCAAATCTCCCTCCTCCTCCTCCTCACCCCCACTTTCTTCCTCCAACTCGTCCCCTGCGGAAGACACGATGGACGTCTCCCCGTCCCACTCACTCAGAAAACTGGTCGCCCAGTAGAGGCTATTCGACATAGACGGCGGGTTCTGCTTGGTTCGCACAGGATTTCCACATCGTACGTCAAATGCATTCATTTCCTCGAAGACTTGAGCAAAGCTCGTTGCAGCAGCAGAATCGTCGGATAGTTTGTCGATACTTGTAGTCTTGCCAAGCTTTTCTTGTTGTTGGGTAAACACGGCTTGTCCACTCTTTTTCTGGAGCTGATATGCATATAATTTTGCAAAAATGCGTGATAAATAGTATACACTTGGGCCAACCCACACTTTAACAATGTAATCAGTGATTAATAATCACCTCGTACATCAGTTGCTTGCGTTTATTCACTCTGTCTCGTTCTTCATCATGCAACGCCTTGTTCTTAGCTCGAAGTACATCTGAATTTTGACATCGAATGGAGACATCTTTGGGTTTTTTGGTCGCTTATTCAAGAAAATTTTACACGTCAGATATATATTTGCGAAATATACACATTTTAAAATTTGAGCATGTGTATGCTTATTTACCGACAATCTGTGGAATGCTAATGTGCTCAAATTCTCCACTCTGCATTAGAGATTGAAGTTCTGCTCGTTGGTCAACGAGCTTCCAAAATGCCTGGCATCTAGATCTTTCCATTTCCAAGCATTGGTTTGATACATTTGAAGTCAATGATGTAAAATTGCAAATAAACTTTCTTTTGGTCTTGTGCTCACGATGATGACAACATTCAGTGGGTAGAACGGGGTCACCACGAGACTTATCAGGGATTTGAGACAGCTTCTCAAGTTTTGCTGCAAATTATGACGAACAAAAAAAAAGCAATCCAAGGTCAGGAAATTGTTGGTAAATTATTTATGTAACATACGCGAGGATCCTTTATCTTTTTGTTGGAAATGCATGTTAATTCCAGCCTCAGACTGATCCATAGTGTTAGGTTTTCGTGGTTGGCATTTATTAGCGGTGCAGACTATTTGCAATATTACACGATTGGATATATGTAACAATTTTTACGCATGATTCATATTAAAATATATACCTTCTTGTCTCTCCCTTTGAAAATATTTATCATCGTCATCATCAAAATTGTGGAAGCTGGTCACATTAATTGTAAACGCGTTATCTTCTATCCGAGAGCAAGACATGATAACTATGATTTGCAGTTGTGAAGTACCTTTTCTTGTTGACAAAATATGATATTCAATACGGACTTTTTTAAAAGCCAACTAGACTAATCCAAAAGCACAATGATCGTACTTTGGTTACGAAGTCATGACGAATTATACTTCTAAAGAATAATTTATCTGAATCTGACGCTATCCGAATCAAAGTAGAGGTTTTCCCAACCCATGTTTGAGACTCTTCCAGCCGAGCGTGAACTGACGAAACCTATTTTTAAGTCTCAAATGATTTTGACTTTTCTGCAACTTTGTTAATTTGGTTTGCGAACATACATATATATACATACGTATCTTAAAATATGTTAAATATGTATCCAATGAAGTTAAGAGACATTTTTGGAACTCATGGATGTAAATTTGTTTGATGTTTATTGGTAAAAAATTTTCGGAAAATACTTTTTCCTTCATATCAGATGAATTTGAAATTTTGAGAAAAAGTTGTTAATTATGCAAATGAGGTTTTCTAAATATTTAATTGTTAGTAATTATTTTCATGCATATATTTATTTATAATGCATAATTATGTTTATAAATAGTTTCACATAATAATACAAAGGTATACTGACAATAATGAGTCTGATCTTGAGAATATCGTGGAATTGATTTAAAACAATAAAAATAACCTTTCTAAATCGGTTTCATATCGGTGATTTCTGTAGTTGATTTATTATTTCTTCTTGCAGCCTGCTCATGAACTGGAATGCCTTTCTTTGTCCATCCAAAGTATCTATATGCCAAGAGAGTAATTGTAAATATTAAGTCGAAAACGCCTTTCTCAAAGTTGTGAAAACTTACGAAAATAAAAATAATGGTGGAATCGTAAGCGCAGCGGATAGTATAAAGAAAGCTCCTGGAATTTATATTTACATATTTTAATAATTCACTAATCTGAGATTTGCATTACTTGTTGTAAGTACCTGGAAAGTCATCCAGCGTTCCTCTGTAAACTGCCTAATAAAAATAATACTTATTATTGCATAATCATGTAATATCAGAAGAATGGAACATAACATTGCGATTTTTATTTACCTGATAAAGTGGGTTGCCCCACAGCGGGGTCGTGGAGTCAATGACTGCAATGAACGAGTTGATCTTTCCCATTTCCGCGATGGGAGATATTTTTGAAATCATTGCTCTTGATGCTATAATCATGGTTCCATTCAAAATGTCCACCACAGGAGCTTGATGTCGGAAAGATTTAATAAATTATTAAATTATACATACACGTATATATACTAATTATTAGTCTCACAGGACTATGAACTTACCAATATACATCATGAGAGTATTATTAGCAAATGCATACACCAAACTTCCAGCAACTTGACTAACACATGATATACAACCGAGTTTCCAATCTGCAACCTCAAGCCAAGTAACTAAAACGCCTACGGACATTAATCCTCCCCCAAAGGCAATCAACATTCGGAATGTTCCATATTCCTGAAATAAATAGGGATTTTTGGATTTTTGGATTTTTATGAAGAACATTTCAGACTGCTGGAGATTTAATTAAACACACAAATAACATACCGAATAGTCTGCAGTGCTCCAATTTAATTTGTTTCTCACAAACAGAAGCAAAGTTGAATCTTCACCTTAATATATATTCATACATAAAACATTGATTATTTAAACCAAGTGGTATATTCGATAGTTAAGAAATATTTGTAGAAGTTAGTTTCGAATTCCATACCTTGCATAGGTGCCATTGTAAAAATTAAAATGGCCACAAGCAAAAATAGCTAAACAAATTAAGGCATAAATAATTATTACTAAAAATGGCTAAAAAAATGCATACCTGTTCTCGAACTCCATATTCACGCTTCTTGAAAAATGCTTTAGCTGACTCTATAACATTTTTCCAGTTGAAAATATTTTTAGTTGCTTCGAGTTTGCTATCTTGCTTAAATCCGCAAGGATTATTGCCCTTCTTGGGGTTTGGCATGATGAGAAGAATATACAAAAATGAGAGCAAGGATAATCCACCCCCCAAACTGAAGATGAAGTAATAATTTTTACCACTCCTCTTTAAATAACCCCCCAAAGCCGATCCTGCAAATACAGACGCATTACCTTGTTTTAATCCTCCTGTTCGCACAGTTAGAATTTGTATATATTTATTATTACCTGATGATCGACCAAAAGTTCTTACCGCTGTCAAAATCCCCATTCGCACCGTTCTCTCTTTTAGCGTTGAGGTAACGGCGACAAAACTGTAGACAACCATGCTAATTGCTATTCTTCCTCCAGTTAGCGAACCCGGAAGGACAGAAAACAGAGCCACAATTTCGGCGTTCCATGTATTAAAGTACGTGCAGAGAATCAGACCGGCATAACGGATCGTTACGCCTGAAATTGCCAGGAGAAAGGGCAGCTTATAACCTGAAAGGGCAAACTGACCGTTAAAATATTGAATTCATTAATTTAGTTGATTAATTACTGTAATTATTAATAAGTGACTATAGTTGAAAAGTTATATGAATAATTGTAAACAAATAATTGTAAACAAAGTTACAAACCATACACGTCTGACCACGTTCCTGAAACATGGGGTAAAAGAAATACATATTAGATTTTGAATGAATAAAAGCTTCATTCTCTCCTAACCACAAACTTTTACTTTAGGTCTTTGTTGTTTTCCTTTAAATAATAATTTTTGATCAAAATGATTAGTGACAGTGAATTACTACGTCAGGAGCCCAAAGTAGGAAAGGATCTTTTCGCCTGGAGAGACACCAATGATGACATCCAAATGCATGTCATGACAGAGGAGGATGTTAAAAGTAATTTTAATTGTTTACAATTCACTCTCTTTTATTGTGAACCAAATGCTAATAAATTGTATTATTTAGAGAATCTAACCCAGATTTACTACTCCCTTCTGACTGACAAACAAGGAGACATGAGGGACATGACTGTGAATAAAGGACATGCGAATACGTGTCTTGTGGCCAAAACGGAGTCGGTCATCAGTCATTTCAATAGCGACGCCTTTGACCTTGACGGTTGTAAAGTGAAGTAAGTGATAAATGGTTCATATTACAAACATTCATCAAAATGCATGTACAAAAATGAACAATTTACAGGGAACTAGAAGAACAATGGGGATGGAAGGTGGATCCAATGTTGACCTACTCCTTCCACATTTACAGTGATGATTCATGGGTCGCTGACCAACTGAAATATTTCATCCGGAGGAAGTTTGGAGTGTGCCAAAGCGCCCTACAATGCTGAAGTAATGTTGGCCAAACATGCTGAGACCATTGATGAACATTTACGACAGTTCATCCACCGTCTTCCTCAAATTAGGGAGGACTATTTCAACAACCCACCTCCTCCTCCTCCAGAAAAACTTGAAACCCCACGGCCACTCCCACCGTCACAAACTAGAAACCATTGTGAGCTGTGTGGTGTAGTTTTACGTGGACAAAATCTTATGTCACATGTGCAAGTATGTATTTTTTGTTTTTCTCATTTTACTAAATAATTTAACTAATATTGTATATAATATTAATGTGTCTAGACAAGCCACTACTCTGGACCCAATGCACTACCCTGTGATCTGTGCCCCTGTACTTTTGAAACACCAGCAAGCCGACTAGGTCATCGACGCAATTATCACCAAGGAGTAGAACCACAAAAAAGGAACACGTTCGATATTCCCGATATCAATGATGAAGACGCCGCTAAATGTGATGTCCAAATGGAGCTTCTCCCATTGGAAGAAGGGTCGAATACACCCAAGTATATGTGCATTTGGGAACGAGAGAGTGGACGACCATGTGGGAAGATAAGTAAAGGGTTGATAAATTCTCGGTAATTCGGTTTGTATTCCTGGTGGATTATTTATATGCTAATATTTCTTTTTGCTGTTACAGCGCCCACGCCTGTGTCCATTTAGGCCTAAAGCCTGACACCTGCCCTGCATCTAGATGCAGCTATTCCTCTTCCTTTTACGGCGACACTGTCAAACATTACAAAGTATATGCTCCACTTTAGTTATTTAATGATGTTATTTAAATCATGTATTCTTTCCTAGAATCAACATGAAGGAGAAGAAGAAGAAGCAGAAGACAAAGGCTCTGAGAAACAAGATGATGAACCCCCAGAGAAAAAGACAAGATCTTCAGTTCAAAATAAATACAAAAATAACAAGAAATAGACATACCAAGAAACAGGGAAAACACGATGGGAAACAGATTTTCAACAACTTCGCTCCAGATCCCAATTTCGGAGATTACCTTTTGGACATCTTCCTCCTCACTTTTGTATCTTCGTTTGATGGTCTGGTTACTGCGTTACATTCCATAAATATTTATATATTTAACATGTGCACTATTATGTATATAATATATACATACACAATATTCTGTCTGCATACCTTGACATGACTCCATTGCAAACGGTATCATTGTAACCGATATTAATTCTGCATGCTCTATCAATCTGTAAATCCGACGCTATGATGTTTCCCATGACCGAGGCCGTCATATAGATGAGGAAACCAGGCTCCATACGAATTGATTTCAAGTAATGCCATACTTTCCCCACAAATGTTTTTTGTGAAATGTCACTGTAAGAATCAGAGTCTTCAAAGATACCTCGACCATCTTCTGAAGACGCTGTGGAGCTAGTAGCTGGGGTAGTGGGGGCAGTAGTAGAGTCTTCTTTCGAGTCATTGTCTTTCTCCATTTTTTTAGAATGTCACACAAAGTCACAAGAAAACTAGAAACTTGTCAGACACCAGGAAGGAACAACATGCCAATTAGCCAAATATAGTACATCAATTACAGAGAGAGAAAGTAGAAGGGTGTGAATAGTTCAGGAGGTGAGGCAAGACTAAATTTTAAAAGTTCAAACTGATCAAAACTCATATTACTCGTAAACACGTTTTATAATGTACGGGAACCAAAGCTGCGTGCAGATAAGATATCTTGGATGAAACCATGTAAGAACAATTGATTTAAGCTGAAGTGGTGATCATCGGAGCTGTATCATGCATACATACCTAGCTCTCGTGCCTGAGTAATTGTACAAGTCGAAAATTATTTTAAAAGCGCTGCATAAGGTGATATTAGATTGATTAGACATGGTCTTATCTGTCATGAAGGTGTCATCAGATGTTATCAGAAAATAAATGTGTACGTGATGTAAATCAGGTAAGCAGTCGCTACATGAATTATGCTTATGTTTCATGAATGGGAATTAAGCTGTATGAAGGAACAAGAATTTTATTATATTAAATTTGGACCCAATTCTATATTATGTATTATTAATTTCAATAATTTAAATATTCAATGGAATGGTCGATTGCAATATTTTGACATATCTACTTAAATTTAAATTCGTTAGGGAAAGCAGAGAAAAATGAACACAGCACAAATGATTTATCATGAAAAATGCATATTGTGCATTGTCATAGGTCGACAACTAAAAACATTTTAGACTTTACTAAAAACATTAAACGAAAGCATGAAAAACGGGAGGCCTAAAATGAAAATTTCTAATAAGTATTTGACCACCTGCAAAAAATGTGAATGGATCTGACGAGGATCGAACTCGTGGCCTCTCACATGCGAAGCGAGCGCTCTACCACTGAGCTACAAACCCGTTATCTTGCTGATGAAAGTTACTCGTCAATATTACGTTCTCAAGGCAGTAAGTTCCGTTCTTGAAAATGTGTAGCCCTTTGTTCTCGGATTGCATTGTTTATTATTTCTCGCAATGCTGACGAGTTTTTCATCTTTCAGGTTGTGCATGTTTGTATTTTATTTTATTTTAGAACAACTGAACTAGAAGGCCAATGAGAAGATTCCAATCCAAAATGGAGAAGTGTTTAGTGTTCGCCAACAAGATTATCAATTGTGTTCATTATTTAGCATGGGTTTTACTTCATAAACAATGGTATACTTTATTAGATGATATATATAATGTATTGAATATAAATTAGAAACCTACATACACAAGTTCATGCCATGTACAATTATCTGCGAAGGAGCATAATTAAAAACCAGCAGTAACTATCATATTAAAACTATTATATTAAGTATATACTTCAAAAGAAAAAAAAACGAATCGTCTGTTTCTACAAATTATTCGTCAAAGTCCTTGTGCATTATTTTATGCGCATGTAAATTAAATTAGCCTTAATAAGTATTTATAATATAAGTTTTCCAAACCGCTCGCTCGATGTGATACGTAAAAGATCAAAACATATTCAAGTAACAGTATATGTATACATGATGCTAAAGTAAAAGTAGGTCTACTGGAAAGTTAGTCTCAAAAACTAGATTTGCCGAGGTCTTCCTAATGAAAATAGTCGGTAGCGGATGAGTCACTCATCCCCACAGATCTTCAGATCGACCAAACTTGTATACTAGCCCGCTGGCAAAGATGAACAAGTTTTGTACAAAGACAGCAATTTGGTACCCATTATTTCCGTGGCCTAGTTCAGAAAAAAAACATTGTTTTATTCAAATTGTTGTTGATTGCTAATAATAGGTATTATAATACCTCCAAGAACGATCCATCCTGAAGCAATCAGAGAAGCGAATCCAACGACAAATCCAACAAATAACCACAATCTAGCCCCGCGTGGACCCATACAACCCTCAGTGAAAGCATCTCCTCTGAGTTGTCCATTAGACACTGAATTGATCCTGAAAAATAAAGTTGATGTAATTATGTAATACTCGTCACATTCTGATTACAAAGAATATGTTAGCTTTACATGAACAGTCCTAACGACCCCATTACACCACACACGTAGTATGACACTGGAAATTCAGCGGAACTAGGGCCTTGTGCAGCAACATCAATAATCAGCCACCATCCAGTGAAAAACTATAAAAAAAAGCATGACTGATTAATGAAAATTTCTCAAGTTTTCATCACAGACATAGTATTACAAACTATGTATATGATATATGTGTGGGTCAGCTACCAGAAAGCCAGCTATTACGGATGAAATCATGTTCCGTCTTTCTCCTTCTAAACATTCGCCACATCGTAGGTTTTCCATAATTGTCGACATTTTGAATGAACAGAAATGTCACAAGGTGCTGCTCGATACTCAGTGAGTATTACTCACGTATTGTTTCTGCAAGCAATAAAAAATAACCACTGTTCAAATTAATAACTTGAAATAAGTTTGATTATATTCTAGATATATTTGGGCTATTAATTGGGCTGATCTTTCAGCATATCAAATATTACTCAAGTATACCTGCTCACTATGTCGATCGCTTAACACTTAATATTATAAAATAGCGCACAATTGGTTAGTTTTGTATCCAATATTATTTTTTGTAAAATTATGAGGTGCGGTGACTCACTATTTCCACAAAACAAAATGCAATGACAGACAATCAGCAGTTAGGCAGAAGCAATAACAAACCAAGGAGAGGAGTCGACATCAAACTTGCCGCCAGCCTCAAACTCATCTCTTTCTTCCAATAAAAACCGCCTTGAAATTCCAGTCACAATAGTTAAATGAACAATTTATTTGGAACTACAAAATTCGAAAAAATAAACTGACCGAGCAAGTTTTTTTCTACCTGCTCGGAAATACCGATATGAAAATAATGCCATTCATTCATTCTAGTAAAAATTTTGCACGGTGATACTTAAAATGTCTAATTTTGCACTAAGCATGAACATCCGACGACCAAAAAGAACAGCTGCATTCGGCCTTCTTCATGTTGTGTCTGACTATGGCGTCGTCCACACATGTGGGTAAACTTTATTGTAGAAAATAATTTCCATATCAACATTACAAGTTGGCAAAACTGCAGTTTTGCAACCAGTTAACTGGTTGCAGAAATAAGAAGCTAGTGAAATCTGACGACTGCAATGGATGCACCCAGAGCCCGAGTTCATCAACACCTTGCTTGCTTGCATCCATCTCCGCAATGCTCCATCCTATGGGCTATTGTGCCAGCCAGTGGATTTTCGTGAGGAGAGGAATCAGTCCTCTCGATAATTTTTTTGGCAAAAGGCCGTGTCGTCGTGTCTCCCAGACCATTATTGTTGTGGAGGAAGACATTTTACTCAATTTTTCGTCTGGCTGCAAGTACGTTCAGTGCCAATTTGGCCCATTCAGGTCGAAAAATTCGTACTTCTCATCATGCTCAGGGTTCGTCAGTTGTTGTTGGTGGCGAAGGAGTGAGGAAATCTGGAGGTTGGCTGGTCTGGAGTTGGTGCAGTGAGAGTTGCAAAAAGCAACGTGGTGCAACTCTCCACCTGTCCATGATTGTTATTGCGATTTATTCCTTTCACAAAAATTTATAATTCCCAGCTGCAAACTAAAGAAATAGTTTATTCGGTTGAAATTAGTGGTTGGTGTGATTCGACATTGAAGCAAGCCGACGCAGGTTGATTCAATTATTTACTGGGCACTTTTGTTGTTTTATGTGGAGATACATGTACGTATCACGTATTACTTGTGACTGTCACGTGGTAATGAGAGTAGATTGATACTAGTGGAAGATAATTATCATTTTCATTCACTTCTTTTTACCATGATCATCGTCAGCCACAGTTTGCGATCAGCTGTGGCTGTGATAGTGTCAACTTCTTGTGTGATTAAATATTAATACAAATATAATTCTGTGCAACGAATTGGAAACAATAGACTTTGGAATTTGGACTAAAGCAATATTTGTAAAGACTTTATAGTAGTAGTGCATAGAATCGTACAACGTTTGAACTGACAAATTGTCAGTGATAATAGTTTTTAGTGAATAGAAGGAATACATTTTTAGTGTTTGTATTTAATTCTTCCAAGTTGTGGTATCGCAATCGTGTATCTATTACTGACGGTAAGAATTTTTTTTAAATTCATTACATTGATTTAAAAAGAGCAAACTAAATTCTGAAAAGAGAGGCCATCACATAGTGTGATTCACATGATTCAGGAGAAATTGGAGTATGAGAAACTCATAAAATTACTGAGGATGTAAAAAAAATGTGTTATCTGATATGCTGCTCAATGCCAGCTTCATTCATTCATTGCATTGGTATTTGTATTCCAATTTCAATGGAAGCACCTTGTCCATACATAATTCGTCCTTATTTAAATATGAAGAATAACGATGATACAAGCCGGATGGATGATGGTGTTGGTACTGATAAAATTATATGAATGAAACTCAGGGACAGACGACTGGATGAAATTCCTAAAATTAGCATGCATAATTAATTTACATGAGGTAGGTCAGGTGACTGACTGACGGAAATTGACGAGCCAGTCCAGTTAATACGACGATATGGATTGGTGTACATACACACACAACCGTTCAAGAATTCAAGAATGCGATGTCACCCATTAGACATAATCGTGACACGCAACACTATCTGATGCAACATCAAATTGACTAGCAGTGCTCATCTTCTCCTTAGTTATTCGGAAGGAGGCGCACAAAGTGCACCTATGACCTTTATCTATCGCCCACTTATTCTTCTGACTCATTTCGTCGTCATCACTCGTACATTCTACGTAAGTGATGGATGAGCGTTGTTGGGTAATATGTATACTGCGTCGTTCGTTGTAATTTGTTCGTGTAAACCTCGGTGTTGCATATATAATATATACATATGTACGTACATATGCAATGCAGTATGTTTCGGAGAGGTATGATATGATGATAACATCGTTCCTTTATGTTCTGCTTGTTGTGCTGTTCGATTTTGTACTTTATTATGACTGCGGGAACAGAACTGGAAAGATGGACGACGACGACGACACAAGTACATGTATTTACAATGTATGAAAAAATGCCATCCGCTTTCCATTGCCACATATAAACTGCAGTCACACGCTGCCGCGACATATACAGACAGACAGCGAAAAGATGACATTGGTGAAAATTTTGCGAGACATATGGGCAATATATATTTGTATATGTAGACCACAAGAACATCAAAGTGATGTGACGTAAGAGGGGGACCGATGGCGGCGGACGGACGTAGAGTTGGATGAAGAAAAATACATATATTGTATATATGTGTGGTAATATCTTTATTTGTACAATATTATTAGTGGTCGTATTATGGTGGATAAGCAAGGATGCCAGTCACCAGAACTCGGAAAACTTTTTTTTCTTCTCCTGTGCATCGAATAGAAAGGCTAAAGGGAGAAGGAGAAAATAGGTCCTTGCACAACACACGAGAGAAAGTCATCAATTCACCCATTTCTCTAATAAATGACAATGCATTTTGGTTATTTTATTTATTACATTGCTCTCCATTGCTTCCGTGGTTGATGGTTTCTAAATGCAAATATGAAAGTGACTACAGTAAGATCGTCATAATAATAGCTTTTGTTATATTATACTAATTCGGTTTGTCCTTTTGGCTGGTTTGGCTCTGGTTAGTTCTTGTCTTTCGATACCTGGAATATATAGGCATGTCATTCACGATCAGTGCATTGCATTGTGTGACGGTGGTTGCCAGACATGGAGATTTAGAGGTTTTTTAGACAGAGATTTTGAACGACGAGGAATGCACCAACTACGTGACTTTCTCTTTCATCTAATCTCTTTCTCTGGTGTATTTTAAAAATAACTGATCCCGGTGTATCTGAAAATAATTCATCCGACTGGATATTTTTTGGTGAGGTTCGTCAATTGTAAACTAATTTTGAAGTAGTCATCCTCACGTCGCCGGCAGAATAACAATAATACTACGATATTCCGACAAAGTCGATGTGGGATAGTTGCGGTCGTCTAGCTGATTGGAGGGTTGCTCCGGCTGTGAAGTGAAGGCGAATGCGATAGTTGGTGTGCGAGCGGCTGGGAGTTGTAAAGCGACGCGGCATTGGATGGTGCTTGGTCTGGGCGTTGCATTTGAGCCATCGGAGCGATTCGTCACATAAGATTGAGGTCGTAGGAAATTGTTTAATATCTTGAGCTAGCTATATAGTTCTGCTGCTGCTGTCGGGGGTTGTTGGTCTGCCGACGACTGTTGTGGGGCTGCTGCTGGTGTTGGGTGGGTGGCAGTTGCCAGGCCATTTATCCTTCTACGCACATCAAAACAGTGGCTTGATTGAACCATCGTTCGGGCGAACGAACGCTAGCAACAGTATCAGATATAGCCAGTAACATAGTCTGAATTCTGCATATGCCCCAACCTTAAGGTTATAGATAGAGTAGTAGACACAGTGCTGAGGCAAACATTATTATTATTGTTAATATTATATATACACTTCTTGACCATCGTTGTTAATAAACTTAATTCATATCAACATTAATATATTTACCTCAATTCCAGTAAATAAATCTACACACAAGATCTGGGCCGTGATGACGCCTGCATTTCAGATGCAAATCACTATTTCAACAAACTACAACAACACTCGAAAGAGTTTCAAGATTACAAAAATCAAAATATCAAGTTTGGTTTTTGATCAAACGCAAATTAAGATCAAGAGTTGAGGTTAACGAACAACTAGTGAGGTTAATTGGTGTTTATTAATACGTGCTACAGTGCACACCTAGTGGTTTTCACCAAAAGTGGAAGATTTAGGATTTATCAATGTATCCTCCTCCTCTTTCACTTAAGTGGGTGCGTACCATGTGATCTATTCTTTGTTCTCTAATATCATTTGTTATTAAGTGTAATATTACTGATATTACTTTTAAAATGCTTGTGATTTGTTGAAAATTAAAGTTCATGAATTGATATGGATTATGATGACATACTGCCAGTCACCTACTCCTACTTTAATAATGGCTCTTGGGTTGGGTGACTCATCGTGGTCTTTCACATTAGTTGATAGATTCAGTTTGTGGATGTTATGGCCAATCGGAACGATTATGTCAAATAGATTTTATCGATTTTAATATTCAAGCTTAAAGAAACCATAACATGCTACAATGTCATCTATTTGTCATTTTCATATCCCATCTTTTACTCATCTTGTATTATTATTTAAGATAATCTTTGCTTGGGTGTTAGGTTAGTTTGACAGATCATGAAATATCAGTTCATATAATGAAAACTTGTACTAATTAATTGTTATTTAGTGGTCATTTACTAATAAATAATGCGTATTGTTTTTTTCCACAGTGATCAATTTTACGTACTCGAGTTGGTGCGAAGATTAGGAATACGAGAGAGACAAGAACAAGACGGATATGGGAAGTAAAGTCCGAGGACCCAGCGGTGCTTCGTTATATGGCCGACTCGCACCAGAGGAACAATTGATGTCTTCTTTGGCTGGTAGTTGTGGCGTGCAGCTGGGGACAACCAATGTTCTCGGAATTATGGGAATGGCAGTACCCGTGCACACTAACCCTAATAGTTCTTCAGGACTTGTCATGAACATGAACGCCGTGGCTGCTGCTAGTGGTGGTAGTGTTTTTCCTCATACACCAGCTGGAGTAAATTTAAACACAAATGTTGTTGTGAGTGGTGCTGTTGCTCCTAATGTGGGTGTAGGATCAAATACGGTTGCAGACATGCAAGCAATGCAAGCCAGGTAAGCACACACGATCATTAATGCATTTAATTTATTAGTTATCATCATACTGAATTATCTACCGTAAACTGATAAGCAAGTGTTCGCTAAGCACACCTCTGAATCGTATCTAAAAAAAGATTTTGCAAACTGGAGCAATAGGTCAAATAATCAAATTTCAAATAGATAACATTGGTTTCGGCTGTAATTTTCTCCTTTATTTGTCAAGGTGCCTGCTAGGATCAGTTCAAGTTTAACACATCTCTTAATTCTTTTTTTTTTTTCAAATGGTTCAGCAACATAATGTTGCTTTATTCCATTAATGGTTACATTTATCAAGACATGCAAATTTGTTAACAATGTCATAATTCTTAACTTCTTCGATTAAAAAACAATACGATCCACGAATGATAATAATGGTTGGGGAATTTTCTGGACAAGAAACAAAGTCTGTCAAATGGAGAAAGTTTTCCCTTCGTCGTTCCGATTATCGAATTTCAATTTTTCCATTTCTTGTCCAACTTGTTTCCTGAATTGGTTTCCTGTTGGAAAATTAATATTAGTATTTGCATTAAAGATGTCCAATCAATCAATTTATTTTACAAACTGGAGGATTTGGGTTTTAGGTCGAGACTGTTTAAGAAATTGAGTTTGTTGTGTACATTTTAACAGAATCCCAAAGACGTTCCGGGACCCATCGGCTGCACCACTGCGAAAACTAAGTGTTGATCTTATCAAAACCTACAAGCACATCAATCAGGTTTACTTTGCCAAAAAGAAGCGACGAGCCCAACAGCAGGGAGACGATGCCGGAAACAAGAAGGAGAGAAAGGTTTTCAGCAATGACGGATACGACGATGATAATCACGACTATATTATTCGAAACGGAGAAAAATTCTTGGACAGATATGAAATAGACTCATTGATCGGCAAGGGTTCATTTGGACAAGTCGTCAAAGCTTATGATCATGAAGATCAATGTTTGGTTGCTATCAAAATTATCAAAAACAAGAAACCATTCCTTAATCAGGCACAAATCGAAGTAAAGTTGCTGGAAATAATGAACAAAGCTGATGCGGATAACAAATATTATATAGTGAAATTGAAACGACACTTTATGTGGAGAAGGTAACGTTATTAATATTTCAGTTTCCTATTGTATTGCATTTAAATGTACATAAATAATACAATATATTCAACCTATAAATAATATGTATTAATATTAAACTATCCGTTTTATTTCAGTCATCTTTGTCTGGTCTTTGAACTATTGTCGTACAATCTGTATGACCTACTCCGAAATACAAACTTTAGAGGAGTGTCCTTAAACCTGACGAGAAAATTCGCCCAGCAATTATGTACAGCTCTTTTGTTTCTTGCAACCCCAGAGTTGAATATCATTCACTGTGATCTTAAGCCAGAAAATATCCTATTGTGTAATCCCAAGCGTTCTGCTATCAAAATTGTGGATTTTGGAAGCTCGTGTCAACTTGGACAACGGGTAAATAACATCATCATACACAAGATTTTACGTCGGAATTTTAATGACATCATCCGACTATAATTAACTTTTTTTTAAAATTTATTTCAGATATACCAGTATATCCAGTCAAGGTTCTACCGTTCACCTGAAGTTTTGTTGGGCATTCCATATGACCTAGCAATAGATATGTGGAGTTTGGGATGCATACTTGGTAAACTATTCTGTTATTATTATTTTTTTTAATTTGCACACTGAAACAAATTAAAAACTAAATACTCTTGACCCACATGAATGAAAGTCACTTGACTAAATCTGGCTTCATAATTAATGAGTTATTTTAACATACGGAATCAATTCGTTATTTTTACCAACAAGTTCAGTGTGAAAATTTCCTTTATAACCTAAATATGACTGGAAGTTAAAATTGATCCTTCTCTTTTTTGTACAATAGTCGAAATGCATACAGGAGAACCCTTATTTTCTGGTGCTGATGAGGTATGTACCCACGTGAATCGTATTTCTAACATTGTATTTCGCTTACTTTAATTTCTTTCACCGCTACTACGAGTATTATGAAATGAAATCCTTGTTCATATAATATTATTACCTAAGCTTAACCACAAAAGCTATTAGTACGTCTGGTGGATTCTCTGAGAAGACAATGTTTTCTCTTGGTTTTGAGACTGAGGCTAGACTGAAACTTGCACTGCTTACTCGGGTCTATTTATATGCATGAATCAGTTGCATTTGTAGAGATTTTATCACTTGTTATCCTCACAAAAAAGAAATTGCACATAGCTTGTTGCTATATTACGGATTATAGAAGAGTTTTCTCGACTGATTCTACGGTTATATGTCAATGTTGTCGAACTCTAGAGTTTCAGTAGTTTTTTTTAAGTTTGAGTATGTGTGGATATTTAGTAGGCAATGCACTTATTGTCTCGTCTGACTGTGTATCAGTTTTGACGAAAAATAGGATCCATCTACATACATACACTACGCTACCAAACTTAACTGTCATTAATGACAGCTAAACGGTAGCGGTAACAATATTTATTGTAATAGTTTTAGCATATGCACAGATAGTAGTACTAAATATAAATCAATATGTACTAATTAAGGGATGTAGATATATGGCTAATTGTGCTTAATGTTTACTACAGGTTGACCAAATGAACAAAATTATCGAAGTGTTGGGACAGTAAGTACAAACAATTATCGTGTTCTTTGAATTTTTATAAACAAAATTTAATTGTTAATTATTTCGACAGCCCGCCCAAACATCTATTGGACATTGGACAGAAGGGTCGAAAATTTTTTGATAAGATGCCTGACGGAAGTCACTCATTAAAAAAGACTAAAAATAACCGGAAATATAAGGCGGCCAGCAGTCGACGTTTACACGATATCCTTGGGGTCGAAACTGGGGGTCCAGGAGGTCGTCGGTTAGTACATTAGTTCATTTATTATGCACCAAATAAAATTCGTAATCTTATATTTTAATTTTTTAAATATTTTAACTTAAATTTCAGGACAAACGAACCTGGACACTCTGTTCAAGACTACTTACGATTTAAAGATCTTATTCTGAGAATGCTGGACTTTGATCCCAAGACACGAATTACACCTTATTACGCCTTGCAGCATAATTTCTTTAAGCGAACAAATGACGAAGGGACTGCAACAAATATGGGAAACCCTTCTCAGGGATCTAGTTCCAGCCCATCCAATATGGATCGATTACAGCAGTTATCGGCATCTGGAGGTCACCACGGGTCGATTGGCGGGGGAAATAATGTGATTGGCTCTTCTGGGACTGGTGAGCTTGATCTTATTATATTTTTACTGGCAACTTTGTATTTATAACTTTACTGGTGACTGACGTTTTTGATTTGTCTGGTTTTGCAGGGTCAAGATCGCACCATGGAGGGTTAAATCAACATAATCACCACATCCCCCAAGCCATTGGGTCATTCAATCATGCAAATAATTCTTCAATCAGTCAGTTTCTTTCGTCAGCAAATTCGTCATCTGCTGGTGGTAACCATCAAAGTAATAGCTTGCTACTACAATCACATGGTGCAACCTCAATCGACATGGAATGCGAGTCCCCTCGACTGAATACAGGAGGAGGAGGTGGCGGTGGATTGTCATATCATACAAGAAGTATGGGCCCTGTTGCAATGTCTTTAGCAAATCACTCTTCTTCTCACCTTCTCAATATCTCGTCAGGATTGTCGTCAGGATCTTCCGGTCGAAATCCACCTCCTCATATTATTCCATCATCTTTGCTAGATAGTGGAGCCTCCAGTTCCTTAACTGGGAGATACGGTGGTGGGGGTTCCAGTAGTAGCGGCGGCCCTTCTTCACTTCCTGTCAATATAGACTTTTCAAACTCATCTGTAACCAACTTTCCTGGTTATTTGAACATGAATCTCAACAATGGTCCTCCTCCACCAACTTCAAGTTTGGAGTGTACACAAACTGGAAGTCTAAACATGCCATTAATGGGCGGTATTATCACAAGTGGAGGATCATCCGCTTTCAACATGAACCTCAACCTTACGGGACTTCCTCCTCATCATCTTGGCTCCAGTCTGAACTCTACTACTGGACTTGTCTCTTCAATAAGTAGTCAAAATATGCAACAATCATCATCTTCTGGTGGTTATCCACCTCCTCCAAGTCAGTTTTTGGGAAATATATTACCATCGTTTAGTTCTGTGTCGAATACAAGTACTGTTGGTTATACGGGAAGTAGTAGCAATAGTGTTCCAAGGGGTGGTTCAGAATCTGGAAGTAGTGCAAGCAGTGCTGACCTAGGTATTAGTAACTCGGGGAGTGGAGGAAAGTCGAATAATTTACTCTTGTCCTTGTCATCACGTGGTGGGAGGCAAGGCACGGTGAACAGTTCTGAAGAGGATAGAGATAGAGATGACTCTCCAATGGTCTGTCAACAAAGCCCAGTTGCAAGTCATTAACAAGACTTGATAATAGATGCTCAATCAGTAATTTTAAGATTGTCTAATAATAATTAATAATAATAATCATAAATTTCATAAAATAATATTTAATGTAACTGTAGGACTCACTACATATAGGACGACGCTATGACCTATAATATACAACCAACTTGCGGTTAAAAACAAAATTGAACAATCGTAACTTTTGTAGCTTCATTAAGGTTTTGTAGATACGCTTTCTGTATCAATTTCAAACTAAATTGTTACTCGGTGTATTTAAATACGAATATTATGAATTTGGTTGACTACACTTCAAGCCATTCAAGCTCCTATTTACATGTACTACTACATATATACCAGCTCACTGACGAATACAAAAAAAGAAATGACAAAAGTTATCCGTCGTAGACTCGTTTATTTGTTACTCATTACGTTGTTGCGTTTTTTTTGACACGGGAAATCTTTTTGATGTATTTTTGTTGGTGTTATTTCCTAAATAACTTTTGTTCTCTAATAATACCAGACTGGTATGTTATATACTATGTGCATCATCAGCAGTTGGTAAAAGAAATAAGTAATTAAGAATACGCAAAAATACGTAAAACAGAAAAGAAGACATTAAATAACTCTCGGCTCTCGCACCTACATTACATAGTTAATACCAATCGTGAACGTATCGCAGTCTAGAAATGCAAAATTAAAGAGAAATGAAAATGCTCGATGTCGATATAAAATAGACCTACTACTACTTTGTACATTTGTTCTGTTATGCAAAGTTGTGAATCAGTATCAATTTAATATTGTAATCTGAGTATCAAGTATCGCAGCTAATAATGAAAGAAAAATAACATTTTTATATTTACACCTCCAAACGAACCAAAAAGTTGTTTCTCTTTCCTGTTTTTTGTCGAATTATATCAGTGAATGATGAATTAAATTTAGAAACCATAAACGCTTAAGTGAGAAGAACAAGACACTATAAACACACCTGCTCTCCTCCTCTTCTTTTCTATTTCAGTTGTAATATTGTTGTTCATTTAAACTTTATTATTTTGTTAAACAGTCTTTATTGAATGTTTGTATCTAAACAAAGCCTAGTTTAACTTTTCCGTAAAAAAAGACAAGCATTGAGGAAAAGAAGAAGAAGCAAAGTAAGTTTTTGAGAAAGGTGTTTTGTTTGAACTGAAACTGTCCCTGGTCATTATTTGTAGTCGTTAAAACACTAGAAATCGAAAGAGAAAGAGTGAAATCCAAAGAAAAAGAAGTTTGATATTTGGAACGATAAGTACGATCTACATATATCAATGTGACTATGTTAAATGTGTTTTATTAGTCAGTGTCATTTGTGTTTGTTTGTTGTAGCAATGTTTTATTACTGAGTTAATTGTGTTTGCATGCATGATTATTACTTCATCTATATTATACATATATCATGATCATTAAACCTTGCTAAATATGTTTGGTTTCAATGTCAAACAAATTTGATAGACTGTGTTGTTGTTGCTGTCGTTCGGTATGTTATTATGCATGTAGCATCTCAATTTTCTACTGTAGTACTGTTTTTACATACTTTAAAATAACGCAAAAATTGTTTTTTTTCTGATATAAATGACAACCATTTTTGTTTTGTACACTTTTTTTTTACTTTATTTGAGCATGAACCAAGGTGTGTCGTCTATTTCATATTTCATACTACCAAAGATGCACATGAATGCATTTTCATTTCACAAAATTCATGCAGCATTTGGAGAAAGCATACTCATGCTCATCGTATGACAAATCTACGTGTCAGATTGCCCCACAATAGGTTATTGCAAAAACCGCACCGTTCGGTATGCAGCTCTTAGGCCAAGTGTGATGATGTGGGCCAATAAGGAGTTTACAAGTTTAGTCGACCCTTTTACGCGTGTGATTTCGAGTCTAACTTCTGCACTGCTGTCAAACCGTAATTCAAGGTGGACAATCAACTGCTCGCCAATTTCAGTATTCTACCTCGACTTCACCTGTGATCTGTGTGTACGTACATGCGGCAATCCGCCACAACTGCTAGTCTACATATTTGTAGGATATTGCCATTCTCTCTGATCGTATCGTGGTGCAGGTGTGAGAAGGAAGCACTTTTTTAGAACAAAAATTAGTAGCGGTAGCTACACCGTTTTTTACAGGTACATTTTGCACTTATCCATAAGTTAGACTCTCCTAATTTTACAAGAAGACCGTTGGTGATTTTGATCTAAAATATATATTATTGGAAACGGCATTTCTAACGAGTGTGTTTTTGTATTACTGCTGGTTGCAGGATGAGGTGGCCAGGTCTAGTCCTGACATGCTTAGGACTTTTATACTTATCGGAAAATGTTCACGGATTGGCTGTGATGAGCATTGATCTCGGCTCAGAATGGATGAAAATTGGAATTGTTTCTGTAAGAATGACACAGTCAGACATACATTTATTGATGATTGATAAAGCAAGTTATTGTTACCATTCCGTATAATTGTTATAGCCTGGAGTACCAATGGAAATTGTGCTTAATAAGGAATCGAAAAGAAAAACGCCAATTGCAATCTCGTTTCGAGATGGGGAACGACTAATTGGAGAAGACGCTTTGAATGTCGGGGTCAGGTTTCCAGCTGCTTGTTACAGCTACTTTTTGGACCTGTTGGGAAAAAAGTTGGACAATCCTATGGTTAAACTGTTCCAGCAAAGGTTTCCCTATTATAATCTTGTTGAAGATGATGCTCGGGGAACTGTGCTATTCAAACATGATAGGTAAACACATCCAAATTAATGACGAGAAGATAGCAAAAGAGAGAGAGAAAGAGAAAAAATAATAATTCTTTATCGATCCTCTATTTTATCTAGCGAGACGTATTATTCTCCTGAAGAACTATTGGGAATGATCCTGAGCAAAGCAAGAGATTTTGCACAAGATTCTTCACGACAACCAGTAAAGGAAGCAGTGATTACGATTCCGCCTTTCTTTAATCAAGGTATATGATTTGACCGGGATGTAAATAAATCGTCAGCATTCACCAACTTTCAAACCAATAATTAATTGCTATAATCGGAAATTTTAATTATTTCAAGCTGAACGAAGAGCGGTTATTAATGCTGCTGAACTGGCTGGGATCAAAGTTTTGCAACTAATTAACACCAATACTGCAGGTTAGTATGCATTTTGAAAACTATTGAAACAAGCGAGTAATAATTATATGATGCATATTAAATGATGTCAAACAATTCTATGTGATTTAGCTGCTCTTAATTACGGAATATTCCGAAGAAAAGATTTTAATGAAAGCGCTCAGTACATGCTACTGTACGATATGGGAGCATCCAGCACTGTGGCCACAGTTGTCAGCTACCAAATTGCCAAAATGAAAGAAAAGGGAATTGTTGAAACTAATCCACAACTCACGATTCATGGAGTTGGGTATGTAGTGTTTAAATTTATGCACATAATGCATAAAGTTTTTCTAGAATATATTAATTTTATGATGTTCATAATTGGTTGTCTGTAGATATGACAGAACTTTGGGAGGATTAGAAATGCAGATTCGCTTAAGGCAGTTTCTGGCCAAGTCATTCAACGACATGAAGAAAACCCAGACTGATATATTTTCAAATTCGAGATCTATGGCAAAGTTGTTTAAAGAAGCTGGACGAGTAAAAAATGTGCTTAGTGCCAACGCAGACCACTATGCTCAGGTTTGTAAGCAACGTGATACTACTACTTATAATGATTAATAGCACCCGGCTATTCATTACTTTTTTTTTGATAATTCAGGTTGAAGGACTTTTGGACGAAAAAGATTTCAGAGTACAAATTACACGAGAGCAATTTGAAAAGCTTAATGAAGATTTATTTAATCGTGTGAAAGGACCAATTCAACAGGCTCTGGATGCTGCAGGTACGTGTTTTTCAATCACCAGAACACGAATGTGACATTTGGCTGGGGTAAACGCGTTCTCGTTCTGAAAAGCGAAGCCAAGCTTAATGTTTTACCATTTTTGAATTAGAAACTTGTTATAGAACTGCTTATCAATTTTGTCTTTACTTTGCAGGAATGACCATGGACGTAATTGATCAAGTAAGGAAAAAAATATACATATATCTCCATAATATACTACTTGAGTCTGAATTTTTACGCCAACTAATTTTACAGGTATTACTGGTGGGAGCTGGCACAAGGGTTCCAAAAGTGCAGGAAAAACTACAAGAATTTTTAAATAGAGAGCTTGGAAAGAGCTTGAACACTGATGAGGCCGGTAAAGTTGTCATTGTAAAATAAACCTGTAATTGTAACATTGGCATTCACAAATTATTTTGTTATTTGTTTGAAGCTGCTATGGGGGCTGTTTACAAAGCTGCAGACCTGAGTACCGGCTTCAAAGTTAAAAAGTTTGTTACCAAAGACGCTGTAATTTTTCCCGTTCTTGTGGACTTTGAACGCGAAGCCGATAATGAAGATGGGACGAAAACTCTGAAAATAATTCGCAGAACTCTCTTTTCCCACATGAATAATTATCCTCAAAAGAAGATTCTCACATTTAACAAGCATGTAGACGATTTTACATTCTATGTTAGTTACGGCGAATTGCCGGTCTCGAAAGAAGAAGCAATGTAAGAGATACATATAATTTGATGTTTTTATGCGTACTTTTAGCTTCCTTCTGTGAATTGCAAATAACTTTTTATTTTACTATTAGTATTACTACATTAACTATTTTTTATATGTATTGTCAGTGCGGTGGGGTCTCCGAATATTACCAAAGTTGAACTGAGTGGAGTAGCGAGCGCCTTACAGAAACATTCGAATGAAGGGGAATCTAAAGGTGTTAAAGCCCATTTCACTATGGACGACAGTGGCATTTTGAGCCTATCATTAGTCGAAGCCGTGTTTGAAAAAAACACAACTGAAGATTCCGAAACTGTTAGAGATACATTGTCAAAGCTCGGAACTGCGTTCAGTAACCTCTTCACGGGTATGCACATAATATTGATGTTGAGTAAAACTAATAATAGCTCGTAGCGTTTTGTATGTTTTTGTTTATGAAATCATTCTAAATTATTTATTACTCAATTCATTCAGGAACCCCAGACGAAATTCCAAAGCCAGAGCCGGAGAGTGCAGATAATTCTCAAGAAGCAACTGAACCTGACGCTTCTGGAAAAGGGGAAGAGGGAGAAAAATCAAAAGATCAAAAGGATGACATTCCTACCAATGACACAGAAAATAAATCTGAAGGCAGTAAGACGCCAGATAATCAGAATACTACTACCCCAACGACAAATACAACAACGCCCGAAAAGAAGCCAAAAGTTCTTCTTGTAAAAGAGGTTTTAGGATCAGAAATACAGGTACTCGACGTCAGCCCTTTGGATGGAGAGAAATTCCAGAAATCGGCTGAGAAGTAAGTTTCATATGAGAATATATATAAAGAATATGTAATTAATAGAATTGCTTTGTTAATTCCCAAATATTTGGTTATTAGGCTAAAGATATTGAATGAACATGACCGAGTGCGAGCATTGCGAGAGAGTGAGTTTACTGTTTAATTGTTATGATCTCTCACAGTTCGAAATTGTAGTAAATATGTATCTATGAAATTTGCCACACAAAAGTAATGAATTATTAATCTTATTTTGAAGTTTTCTATTTGTATTTAAAGGAGCTCGAAATGCGTTGGAGACTTTTGTGATTGACATGCAAACCAATATTTACACTGAACAATATGAAAAGGCTGTAACCGAAGAAGAAAAAGAAAATATCTTAAAAACTTGCTCAGAGGTTTGTTATATTAGTTAGTTATATTTCAACTAAAAAATTTGAGTAAAACGGATAGAGCTGACAAGATATTTGATGTAATCACTCGCTCTTATTTGCAAACTCACACTAACTAGTTTTTGTGATTTAGATCTCGGATTGGTTGTACGAAGAAGGGTCAGATGCAGTTAAAACTGTTTATGAAGACAAGTTGAAGTCCCTCAAGCTACTTACAAAAGATCTATTGGACCGAGTTCGTGAGCATAAGGATAGACCCGATGCACTTGAAGCTCTTGATAATATGCTCAATATCAGCATGGGTTTTTTGGACACCTCGAAATCTCTATCTCCTGAGGAGCAATTATTTACAGAAGTGGAGTTGACAACACTAGAAAAACTTGTTACCGAAACGTTTACCTGGCGTGAAACGAAATTAAAAGAGCAAGAAAATATCCCATTGAGCACTATGCCTACATTAACAGTCAGATCCATTGCTGAAAAAATTGATGCACTCGACAGAGAAGTAAGTTGAAGATAAATAAATAAAACTCTCACTCGTTATAGCTGCTGCTGCTGCTTATTTCCAAGATGGCAATCAATATTTTATTGGTTTATTTTTTTTCCTTTCACTAGGTCAAATACATGGTTAATAAGGCGAGAGTGAATAAGTTGAATAAGGCTAAGGACGAAGCCAAGAAAAAAGAGTCAGAGAACAAGACGGACGAAGCTAAAGAGAAGGAGGAAAAAGTGACAAAAAATAAAACAGAACCAGAAGAAGAATCAATAAATTCTCCTGAAGCAGATATTTTCGAAGAGTCTCCTGGAGCTTCTGAAACTGTGAAGGATTCCCCGGATAACGAAACTGATAAAGTAAACCCATCAAAAAGTAAAACAGATTCAGATGATTCGCACACGGAATTATAACACTAATTAGATTTAAATTCAATTGTATTCCACTATTATTTTGTATTTATGCATTTTTTGATTCCGAAATTATGTTTTACATCAAACAATCTCATAAAATAATATCGTACCACAAACATTAGGGTCGAATATTATTGGTACTAATTATCCTTCGTGGTTATAATTAATTTCTTCATATACAATTGGTCCGGCCATTTGCAGTAGTATTTAGATAAATAGACGAGGTGCGACCGACCAAAAATGGCTGGTAATTTGTGTGATACCTATGTTAATTTGTTTTCAACGAACTTTGTTCGTCAACTACTGTTAGTTCATTAGATTAGGTTCATGTGATGTGAGGTTTCATATAATAATGTGACAATTCAGTGTCGTTCACATTAGCAATTGAAGTTTGCGTGGGGAATTATTCTATCCTATACATACATATACTACTATACATGCATTGGATGTCCACAATTGAATTATGTCCCCAGTGAAGTGAATTATAAAGTAAACTATGCACAGAGTTTTAAAAATACTGATTATATTCAATTTTTTAATCAAATTTCAACAAGATCCAGAAATAATAAAAATATGAGTCGAAATATTAAGTGTAACATTTTATGTGTGATTACTTAATAATAAAAATATAAAATTTCATAAAATGCATCTTAGTAATCAGCTGTATTATTTGCAAGGTAATCCCGTCTTCCAATGCTAGACGCCTCTTTGGATCGTATGGCTTCCAGTTTTGGACAATCTGTAATCCTGTGACCCAATCCTCCACAATAACTGCAACCCTTGTCATCTTTATAGATTATTTGAAAGAAAAAAGATATTTTTGCAATATTTCGAAAATAATCATGATAAATAAATGCCATAATATGTTACCTCCAAGATCCAGATACTTTTCGTTTTCAGATTGCAGTGTAGCCAGAAAATATGGAACTTGTTGCTTGGCCTCAATAAGAAGATGCTTCAAATCAAGCAACACTGACTCCTCATTCCCCTTGTTAATAAATGTCGTGGCCAACCCCGTTTTTCCCGAACGTCCAGTACGCCCAATCCGATGAACTGCGTATAGTAGACATACAAATTTAACCGTGCTATAAACAACATGAACAACATTCATTATATATAACACCAAATCAAATAAACTCACCATAATTTTCAATGTCATCAGGCATGTCATAATTGATTACATGTTGAATATTGGGAAAGTCCAATCCCTTGGATGCCACGTCCGTTGCAACAAGTACATCTTTCTTGGCACTTCGGAATGCTTCAACTCCCTTTGATCGTTCCTCTTGATCTACATAGAATTGGTTGGTAGTTTTAAGAGTGAGTAAGCGTCGTCCGAATCTCTTCGCATGATAAGTACTGAGAGTGTCAATTTGACACTGCATAGAAATGTGTGGCCATGTAAAATATTACCTTTGCCTCCGTGAATTGCAACTGCTTCAACACCTTTGAGTAACAAATACTCATGAATGTTATCAACATCTTGTTTTTTCTCTGCAAAAATTAAAACAGGAGGTGGTGTTTTTTGGAGACATTCAAGGAGATAAACAATTTTTGCTTCCGATTTGACATATTCCACTTCCTGCAAGCCAACAAATTCGAGGTATTCTTTATAAATGTATACAATCGTTCGTTATTAGCCTTATTTGTATGAACCTAACCTGGATAACATTCATGGAAGCCGCTCCAGCACGGCCAACATTGATCGTAATTGGCTTGACGAGAGCTGATTTTGCAAAGTTTTGAATTTTCTTGGGCATTGTGGCAGAAAATAATAGAGTTTGACGTTGTGCCTGCAATATCAGATAAATTATAGTGATACCGATTGCGACAAACTCAGAATGACTCAGATACATACATACATAGATTTAAAAAGTGACAGCGCTCTGAACCGCAATTATACCTTAAAGTAGGAAAAGACTGTTCGAATATCTTCCTCAAATCCCAAGTCGATTAAACGATCAGCTTCGTCCATCACCAAATACCGACAAACATCCAATCGAATCATCTTCTTGTCCAGCATATCCATCAGTCGACCAGGTGTTGCAACCTGGATTGAAGAACACAATATGAACACATTAATACTTTGTTTAGTGAAACTGTCGGTCCCCTAATGATTGCTGATCATAAAGTATTTCACAGCCTAACACTATTAAAATATTATTTATACTAACCATAATATGGACACCTTTCTTGATGGTATCCAACGCTTCTGTTACTGCAACCCCACCCATCGCAAGGCATGGTCGCACTACGTAAAAATGCTTTTATAAATATTTTAATACTTCACTTAATTAATTATATGCATTCCTATAGTCAAGACATTAATGCAAAGTAAGCAACATTAGAAACATACGTTCGGGGAAACCTTCATCTTTCAGGGTCTGACAGAGTAAAACAAGAATTTCGTATGTCTGCTTTGCCAACTCTCTTGATGGACAAATTATTAAACCTGTGTGTAAATAAGATATCAAACAAATGCTGAACAAATGAATACCATAATTATGCATTATTATTTATGATGAGTTACCATAAGGGCCCTCTTCCCGGGTAAACGGAAGCTTATATTCTTGCTCCAAGGAAAACATTAAAATCGGTAGAACAAATACTAATGTTTTTCCGCTTCCTATCAATTCAAAATAAACATGGCTTATTTCTTAAACCTTAAGGTCCATTTTCATGTATTTCTATTCCTCACCTGTGAATGCAATTCCGATGAGATCTCTTCCAGATAAACTGCAAATTCAAATATTTGCATAATGTGTGATCAAATTTTTACATTTATATTTTAAAAATCTTACACTACTGGGAGTCCTTGTATCTGAATCGGGGATGGTTTAACAATCCCTTTTTTGTTGAGGCTTTTGATTAAAACCTTTGGGAACTTCATTTCGTCGAAATGCTTAATCGGCGGTGGAATCCCTTCTCCTTCGACCAATATGCAGTACTTTTTGCGTACCCTCTCGTGTCGTTCTTGATCTTTATCCATAATATGCTTAGGTGGTGTCCAACTACGTGAAAAATAGTGGTTAAAATTAATTGAGAAGAAAGAATCATACTTTATCATATACAAACTATTACTTTACCTTGTTCTTATTGGCTCTTCATATTGAATTCCTTTAGCTAATTCAGCAACCCCCATAAGCGCTGTTTTCTCTGCAACACTTTCTAAAATCTTTTCTTCTTCCTTTAATTGTTTTTCCATCGCGCTTTCTTTTCTCGCTAAAAATTAGCAAATAAACGTTCATAGGTAATAATAATAAGATTAATCAAGCCATCTTTATTAATTATTAACACCATTTACATACCTTCTGCCAACTTCTTAAGTTCTGTATGTTGATCCAATAAGGAGATATTCTCTCTTCTCGCCATGGCTTGAGCATCTTCCTCGTCTGTAAGTTCCTCTTTTTCAGATTCTGAAGATTCTACATTTTTGGCAGCCCTGTCTTTATACAGCTTATTTCCCAATTTCGTCAATTTGTCACGTTTCCGTTCTCGAACAGGAACGTACGGAACATAGTTCCGATCTTCTAGGTCACTAAGTGCAGACTCGTCCTTTTCGGCATGCTCTGCGCGACGATATCTCTACAATATACGGCCATTGATTTAAGTCATTTATAGTAGTCCATATTTTATAGACTATACATTATTTTGTTTATGAATGCAGTAGTTTTTAAACTTTGTGCAATTATTTTAACAATTTAACATTCGCATGTGATGAGGTAAATAGTTCGCTTACCTTGACGGGAGGAGACTTTCTATGGTCCATGGTCCACTATTTTCCAGTAAAACTAATTAGTTTTGTTGGTAAATTTTCGCCGGAAAAAATCTCTGATTGCCGACGTTCGGCGTAGTAAATAAATAAAGCAACACCCGCTCAGCTGCTCAAACAGATGAATCGATGGTTGAAAAGCAGAGAAGCTCCGGCAGACACATGATAGATAACGTTGAATGTATGTACTTTCTTCCCGTACACGGACTTCAGACTTCAGCTGTATAATAATACAGCCTGCTGCATTGATTGATACATTTCATAGAATTAATTGTTGAGTAGAAGTGAGTCGTATGATATTATTAACACATCTTCTGATCTGATTGTCGCCACATTTTTTGCCCCATTGGAATCGGAATCTCGAGATCAGTGGTAAGATTGTAACTGTGCATTAGTTAAACTAATTTAGTTTTACAGTATTTTTAAACAATGTAATGTGTTGTGAACAGACGATGAAGTATTTTAAAACGTTATTAAATTGTATTGGATTTCAAATTAAATCCTATTAAAATTGAGTGCCTGTGTCATGTTGTAAATGTCGTGTCATAAGATTGTTATGATTTTTCTCTTCGATTTCTATCAGAATAGCACTTTAATTCACTGTCAATTTTGGAGACTATATATAAATTATATATTTAGTTAGATTATAGAAAGGAACGTCTGTAAAGTTGTGAATTGCATCGACTAACCAATCCCTTTCTGCTTATGATTTTGAGATGAAGCATAGATATTTAAGTACAATTTCCAGTACACATTTTCCGAATTGTTACACGTTATCATTATTAGCTGCATTTTGCATATGTCCTACATATTCCTTGATTCTTACAGCAGCAAGTACATTTCGAACGAAGATGGTCGTGTTTATCGTTTCTCGTCTGCAACATGGATGTAAGAGATTGATTGGTCTCAACCTGCCTCCTCTGACCCCACAACGAGTCACTTTCCCAGCTCGACAACGAAACTATGCATCTGTGGCGTTTACCTCGACTTCGAATGACCAAGATGAGCTGCTGCTTACTTTCATTGAGAAAGAGAAGCAGGGAAAAATTGCCATAATGGCCTTCAACCGACCTCAGGCAAAAAACTCTTTTGGGAGAAACGTTGTCGGAAAGTTTATGGAGTATGTAGACGTACTTCGATTCGAAAAGGACGTACGAGCCCTGATTATTCGATCCGTTGTTCCTGGTATGAATGAAGAACTTTTTTTTCTTAAATAAATAATAACTATTTATATCCGACTGAGAATGTAAACTGAATGAAGAAATATTCATCCCTACAAATTTATGGGGTCTAAAAAACGTCATAATAGTTTTTCATGAAAGTTTGTAATATGTTTGCGGGGATTACATTGCTGACAAAGTAAAGAGATACCCGGTGTTTTTTATTTAGGAATATTTTGTGCTGGTGCGGATTTGAAGGAGAGGCTGAAAATGAAACCGGAAGAGGTTGGACCACTTGTGGCCAAAATGCGACGAGTTCTTTCAGACATTGAGATGTTGCCAATGCCCGTGATTGCTGCACTTGATGGGGCTGCTCTTGGGGGTGGGCTCGAACTCGCTCTAGCATGTGACTTAAGGGTGGCATCGACCACAGCAAAAATGGGTTTAGTGGAAACAAGACTTGCCATAATTCCTGGTAAATAAATATTCATTTTAGAGAATTTGAACGAGATCATTGGAGTATTATTATTGAAATCATTTAGGTGCTGGGGGAACTCAAAGATTATCTCGCATCATCGGTGTGGCCAAGGCGAAAGAATTGATATTCACTGGCAGGATTGTGGATGGGTCCGAAGCTAAAGAAATTGGTTTGGTAAATCAAGTGGCGGAACAGAATAAGAATGGAGATGGAGCGTATCTGCGTGCTGTTGAGCTGGCTGAGGAGGTGAGTTGTATTATATAAAATCAATTTATAATTTTCAGAGCAATTTATTCCGGGTTTCCTGTCCTGCTGGCTTATTTTTCTTTATGGAAAGAGACTGATATGTAGTACTTCAAAATAGGACAAAATAGAAACGTAATATTATACGATTATTTTGTCCTGGTCTATTTCAGATCATCCCAAATGGTCCCATTGGAGTGAGAATGGCAAAGATTTCAATAAGTCGAGGTAAAGAGGTCGACATTTCTACAGGATTGGCAATAGAAGAGGTATAAACTATTTTACGGCAAATGCTAGATCTGCATAGTTCATGGTCATCCCTAACGTCTATGTCCTTTGAATTTTCAGGCCTGTTATGCTCAAGTAATTCCAACTAAGGATCGTATCGAAGGGTTAGTAGCATTCAAGGAGAAACGACCTCCACATTATAAGGGCGAATAAAAAACAGACCAAATAAAATTAATCTACGTAAATTCATCAGTCTATTCCATAATAGTACTAACTACTCTACTCCATATGAGGAATAGAAAATGAGACTACTGCAAAATAATTAAAAAATGAGATATTTTTCTTAAAAACCCAGTCCTTCCTTAATGTGTACATGTATCTCCCTTAATAGCGCATACCACAGTATTCATTTTTGCTGATTAATGCTGCCAATTCAAAAATTTTATTTCATTCAATTAATCACACAGGTTCATACTCTCAATTTGATTATATGTATTAACTTATCAAGAATGACATCTTCTCTTCTAAGTAATACTTAACAAAATAAATGACACATGTGCTCGAGCAAAGTACCCCCACCTACAGAGTTATTGCAGTTCCACTAGACGTGGTCCATCCCGGTACATCTCCATTTGCAAGATTGGTCTCCTGTAGCCATCTTTCCAGTGGTGCAAAATAGGATCGAATTGCTGTTGCGTTCATTTTTCTTACTCCTGTCAACGCCTCTAAAGCATACAAAAAAATATTAAATTAAATGAAACTGGAAGGAAATATTTTCAAGCTAGATATATTAATTTATCATGACGGAACCTAGGGCATCGGGCCAAGGCTTAGAACGTCCCAGTTGTAGCATGTCTCTGAAAAAATAAGGACATGTAATGAATTCGTCGCCCCCATTTATCTCTGTATTACTAGACCAATCGGTGTAGTTTTATAGCTCAGCTATGGCTCAAATTATTATACTCCAGATCCAATCCATCATTATTTTGAGCAATGTGGTGCTCCATTCAACGTAAAAAGCACACAGATGACCACCAACCAACCTAAAACCATTTCCAATTCGTTCGAGTCCAATAATGAAGGAATGATAGCAATAAAGGTGTGGTTTCCGTGTCGGGAATGCTTGTGGTCGTTGTTATTGTACATATAGATGTTCGCCTCCTATATTACAGACGCCAATGCAGACTACAGGTTCAATAACTGTAATAAATATTGATGAAAATACTCGACCATGCAGAACATGGCGAAATTATTGCGAGTTATTATTCAATCATTTTGTGCTTTGAAGTTTCTCATCATCCGCTACCATCTTTTTCAATTCAACGTTTTGCATGCATTTCCTGAGGGAATCTACACTATAGATAAATCCAGTCCGTATTGGCAGATAGTTTGCATGCTTATGGATGTGACCAATATTCCATATTATGTGCATACTAGAAATTTAACATGATCCACTTTAGCTAAACAGATCAAAAGGACTTTCTCTCCTAAAACAACGCGTGTTAATAGAATTTCAACATTACAAAACCAATACCCATACTGGGAAGTAATCCATAATGGTGACACTCACTCAGTCATGAAATGAATTGGACGAAATCAAATTTTCCAGCATCGGAAAACTATATACACAGACATACACATGAGCTGAGGTCATATCGTACGACACGAAATGTGGAAGAAAGGTCCCGAAGAAAGATCCTTTCTATTGAATTTGAGTCAAGAGAAAGCATATGTCAATCCAAACTCAAACTAATAATCCAGTAGTAAAGTCTTCTAAACCCTACTGACTCGACTTGCTGAATTTATAGGCACACATATCCATCCAGTATCCACTGCACATATCCACCTCACGTTTTACACACACTGGTGAATGTAACACTCTGCAGAATTCCCCTGCACTCAAACATTTTATTTTATACATCTCAGAAGAATATACGAGATGTGCATGAAATGGAACGTGGACAGTCCATAAGACAAATTGGAGGAGAGAGAATAAAGGACCATACGACGACTGAGGACTTTGGCCGCTTTGGGAGTGAGAGTAGAAGGAAAAGGTATCTCAATTTTTCCATTTGATCGCACCTCTAGAAATAATAAATTTTTGATTCCTGACATCCTTGTCACATGAAATCAATTCTGGAAGTCGGCGAGGGGTCCGTCCGTTTGCTTCATACATGTAGCTTTCTCCTTCCTCGGAAACAAGATGGATCACTCGTGATTTGATGATAGCTTTCTGCATCTGACAACCTCCGTTGTTGTCCTCAGTCCCCCCTCCGCTCTCTGATTTCAATTCCATTTCATATTTCTGAAGCCACTGTCTCTATTCTCGGGATATTTTCCACCATCCTTCACTTTCTCCCGTCTTGTATGCTTATATCTCGGTGTGCGACTACGAGACAATGCACCATTCGAATTACTATGATGGCTGCTGGCGTTATTATACGTACTTTATTTTATAGTCTTGCATTTCGTCACTAGTCACCATTGTCCAACTCCTCCGTCTCAAGTGAATATGCATTGTCCCCCTTTGCATACCTCCATGAGACGTTGTTTATTGTGTGGCAGAAAGATAATATTCTCCCATTGTTTCCCCTCTCAATCATGCTTCCCACCCAAGAAAGAAGGAATTATGAGCCAAGATTTTATAAATATGCAACATTGCGACTTTGGAGTACTTTCGAGATGGTTTTTGGAAAGAATGGCAGGGAGAGGAAATCGACCACGCAGCAGGAGACCGTACCTGCTGGTTCGCGACAGGTTGATTTTATAATAAATATTTCCAACAAATTTCGTAATACCCCAACCCGTCGCTCGGTAAGGCCGTGTTACTAAATATTACTACAAAAAATACGAGCGAGAAATACGACAGAAATATCCCAACTTTCTCTTACTTTCTCCAATCCATAACCTTACGTGATGGGGCAAGTTGAGGACGACCAAGTTCATAGTAGTAGACGCAATACATTATAAACTTCATTCATATCCACACGTTCCATTGCAATTTGTTCAACTTTCACTACTGTTGCAATATTTGAAAATGTTGTATGCCTTATGAAAAGGTACATCTATATGTGCACATCTCTTCTGGTATATGGTATGTACTATGTATCACTACAATAATAGACTTACGATAGTATGGCACCAGCCTCCTGCGATCCGTAAAAGTCACAGTCAGTCAATGGACCTTCGTGTCCGGCAGCTTCGCACAAGGATTCTGCAAATTGAAACTGAAGGATCGTTCTGGTAAAGTATCGAATCATGTCGTAGTCTTGGGCCACGTGAAATATGCTCGGACAATCAAGATCCTCTTCAGTCCTTTCCACCGGGGCATGAACTCCAACAATTGCTTCGGAGAGTGCCCAAAATTCACCATTCCATTGTGATGACATGTTTCCGTAATATCCTCGGAAAGCATTCCATCTCCACTGGTCTTGCAAAAGGTGAAATGGAAGAGTGGAGATGGTAGACAACGCTTGTTGGAACAAGTAGTTGATTTCAGTTTCTAAAATTATTGATCAAAGGAATCCTCCGTTACTATTTATCTTGAAAGTTGAAGTGCTATTAATACTTAAACAATTTGTATAAAATCTACACTTTGAGTGTAAATTATTGTTCGTAAATACAACAGGCTTGCATGTATAAATACTTAGGAGGAGAGCTTCACCACATGCCCTTCTGAGATTTCGATGCCCTTTGGACATGTGGTAGGGTCCCATGAGTGAACAACAACCCTGAAGTAGTTTGACACCATGGCCACATTTGCGCCCGCCACACCCACTCAAAGGCGCCAAAAACCGGAGAAAGTAGTGCTTTCACTTATTCAAATCCACACCAAAAATCCAATTATACTCGGATTTTGAAATTCCGTTCCCAGATAGTTGTTTTCTTATACCCAACATCAAACTCAACTTTTTTGGTGATTATTTCGAAGGCATAGTTTATTACTACAACAATCCTCTTTGGGAATTTTAAATTTTAAAAATATTATAAATTTCAAAAACGTAAGTTTGATGTTGGATATAAGAAAACAACTACCTGAGAGTATAATGAAATGCGAAATTTCTATTTAAATCCGAGTAAAATTGGATTTTTGGCGTGGATTTAAATAAGTGAAAGCGCTACTTTCTCCGTTTTTTGGGCGCCTTGGAGTGGGTGTGGCGGGCAAATGTGGCCATGGAATCAAACCACTTCAGGGTTATTGTTCACTCATGGGACCCTACCACATATCCAAAGGGCACCGAGATCTCATGGTCAGAAGGGTAGGTGGTGAAGCTCTCCACCCTAGAAAGCATAAATATGTAGGACTACGCTGGGGATAAATTTATTCACGGACGAAAATCTTTGTACATGCAATGTAAATACTTTGCATTAAGACTTTCTTTAATGCGACAAATAAAGAAAACTAATTGAACGCAACAGCCATGATGCTTGCTTTCACTCTAGATATTAACTGTCCCCTTATTGAAAGTGTCAGTCTATTTTGACCTGCAGAAAATTAATGCATGAATCAAATCAAATGAAACTTTTGTGGAATACTAACGATGAGCATACCGAAGTTTTTTAATCCTTCAGTTGTGCAAATACCCCTTCCGTACCACTGGAGAGACGATTTTGTCGCACACCTCTCATGAGCGCTTCGCCACTCGTTTCATCAACTTCTATGATGGTTTTCTCCATAACCCGATGAAATTCTTACAAATTTAGTGATATCGTTTTTTTATGACAGTATTATTTCTTAAGTAATGCCCAAATTCTTTTAATGGGTCGACACTGAGGTACTTTTTGAGCCTTGTCTATTTTATCGACAAAATCAACCTTTTTCCCTTCGAGGTACCTGGTCACTATTTTGGCATTCTGGTACGTACCCATGCCAGGGAAAAATAAAACGTGTTTGTTTTTGATAGAGGGGGTCAATCTCCTGATGATACACTCTTTGAAATAAATCCAAAAGTTCAAATTCTTGGTGGAGGCGAATCGATTTGAGACGCTCCCATTTTTGTCGATCCGCAGCCATTTTATATATTTCATCCGAAATTTTGCTTGGTTTTGAATTGAAATTTCGAACGAACGTCATTTTTACTTCCACATGAGCAGAACTTTACACGATTGATGCTTCGAGGTCAACGGGGTCGTAGTTTTAACAATTCATGACATCAAACTTCGGGGTGTCAGTTTTAACATTTTCTCAACAAGTTTTTCACAAATAGCTTTGGCTCCTCCTTTTTTATCTTGATTGTACTTTGGCGCGGTTTTAGTGTTGTACGTTTTGAAGCCCATCTTATTGGCATTGATCCTGTGAAGATAGGTTTTTGAAATTTTTAGTTGTCTGGGTGCGAGCCTCATGGATATGTTGGTGTTGCATCAGAAAGATTTTTTCACGTTTCGCGTGAGTATATTAGTGTCCTGGCGGACAGGTTGAGAAGGCCAAATTTTATAATTTGCATTTTCACGATCCTTAGATATGTCTAATGTATGACTGATTTTGTCCGGCCCATCCCTTGAACAATGAAGTGGTGATATGCTCTTTTCTGATCCGAGAAATACACTTTTTTGATGAAGTGGCAAACTAATTTTTCCACTTCCTCTAAATTTTGTGCTGTCATTTTTGAACGAAAAGAGATAATCAAATTCTGTTTTCGGTTTTAGAAAGCTTATCAAATTTGCCAATTTTTAATGATTTTTACATGTGCGAAATTCATTTTTAACTGGGTGAACCAATAGAGGGAATCTTGACACTTTCAATATGGGGACAACTCATAAGCCTTTTCCTAAGTAAGCAGTATTTGCTTTTGCAAATATTCGTAACACCGTTATTTTCAATTTAAAATCAAACTGGGAGGAGGTAGTTGGCTTTGCTTTTATCTTGGCACACATGTCGCAAGTGGTTGTAATTACTGAAATCCTGTGCGAGTTCGTTGTGATTGTAAATTCCGAGCACACCCTTCACCCTCAAAGTGGTTAAGGTACTTGACAGATTGACGCAAGCGACTCAATTAAAAATTAAAAGGTTTTACATTAACCACTGTTGACTTGGCTTCTTTGAAGTTTAACATTTAACAGTGTACATATAACCCCAAATTTAGGAATAGTAAAGTTGACTTACTGTTGTCTGTTGGTAGTTCGTCAAGCAATCCGATTGCGTACAAATGTTTTGGCGTGGATACAATCATAGACATTAACTCGCCAATAGCTTCGTGAAAACCATCATTTGCTCCTTCCCTTCGCAAATTTATATTTTCATGTGAATTCTAATTAATTCTCAAGTTTTGATGTATTTGGAAAAGGGTAAATGTTTTACAAGTAAACTGTTGGCTGTTGGCTGTACTGTTGGAAATACTGGATGTGGCCTAGTTCGGTTCACATATTACTCATTATTAATTACTCTTTATCATTATTATGTTCTTTACCTAGTTCATGGTGAATTGTCAAAAAATCATCCATATTTATCCTGGTGCACATCTTAATGCTGTAATTTATCACAATTTTACAACCTAAATGACAGTTCAGTCCCATCAAAATTATTTATTGATGAAACGACTCCAATCTCAAGGCTTGGGTTACTTAAACGGCTAACGTGCACATGCTTGAAGGCCAAAAGGGAAAGTCGTTAGAAAAATTCATGGAATTTGCTTCGTAACCCGTGGAAAACGAAAGGTCAGGTTATGAAGAAAATCCAAAGGGATAATAAATGGGAAAATCGTGAGATGAGAAAATTTATACTTCATCTCTCATCCTAACCAGCAGGCCATTTCTGTCTTGAAATTTAATATGTCGCATCGCTGCAACTTCGGAATAGGATTGGAGACATGTGACGTGGATAGCTACACACTAATTTCTTGCTGTTTACATACCAGCAGCTTTTCAAATGCTTTAATAACGAACATACTTATTGACTTACCGGTAGTCCACAGAATCATAAAAATCCCATGCTGTAGCGTGGCATACCTGTGTCACAGGTAAATTATCAGTACCAATTAGCTGCCTTAGGTGTCATAATCTTATGTGGCAGCTTCATCACGAGTAATATTAAACCATAATAAGTATTTAGGATATATTCAGTTCGAACTAGTACGTACAACTTCCCGGTCTGAAGGTTTTTCAAGCATGGATAGGTTGTAGAAGGTTGGTGGAAGAGGAATGAGTCCCATCGACGTATAAAAGTCATCACTAGTCTCGAACATTCTTGTGATGGTGTAATTTTGATCGATCAGAGCTTGGGTAATGTCCAAGCTGGGCTGATCCGGAAACGGCACTCCGATTGAATATAAATTGGCCCAAAACCTACCTAAGAAATTGGGAAACTTATTTTGAAAATCCAATAATCTTCCTCAATTTTGCTGGGGAGAAAACGTTCACTAAACCCACCCCACATATCGCCTAGCACGCTTTGAGGCAGGGTCCCTGAAAAATTAAATTTTTAGAGACCTATAGTCAACACAATTTGGTTCTCCTCAAATTACTTTGCATTCAATAATAGCAACATATCCATAAGTCGAAGATCATAAATAATAAATATTATCAAAATCATACCGTTTAAATTAATAACATCCGGTCCGTATGTTTCATACAACTTCCTTCTAACATAGGCGTGGAGTTGCAAGTACAATGGATTCATTTCTTCATATAAACTGTGAATATCACTCTCAAACTCTGGGTCTTCATATTTCTGTCGCAGTTGATCTCCATAGTCGTTAAATCCGTTGACTACGGCGAGTTTGTTCTTCAGTTCCACATACTGTGTAAAGAAAAAACACGTGCGGAAATCAAATATCATTAACGTATATATTTATGTATGTGGTAACAATCAAATGACATGACTAACAACTTCCGTCAGAAATTGTCACATAGCCAGCGGCATGGTTTATACCTTTATATCCGGTATTTCTTCATGTTCAGCAACGCATTTAGATAAATAGACAGATAAATTGTACAATCAGGTTTTTGGACAATGTCCACGAAACCAGCGGCAAGCAAACAATGGAGATCACATTAATTTTTTTCTTTCGCAAGATGCGAATTGTGTAACCAAAAATGTTGAATGGTCATGTCATTCATCTGAAACATTCGTCGTTAGTGAGCCGTGATGTTCACAAAAGAGCTCGCCGACTACAATAGAAAAATACCGTTCGCAGCTCGGGGCAAAGTTGATGCTGCGGTGGACGTTGTTTGAAAGCCGTGTTTACGTCGTGGCAGAATTATAAGAAGAAATAATAAGATATCAGTTTTTGCAGGCGAAGAAGAAATGTCTTATTTTGCATGTAGAAAGTAGAGCAGTTCTCGCATTGGCATTTTCATATAGCTCTTCTTGTCAGCAGACTTTTGGGTGCAAGCGAGCATCCCTCATCGTTTTGTACAGTTGGCATACGAAACCTATTTGCCAACTATTTTTTTAAAGATTATACAAAATCATAAAATCCTCTCCTCGCCCTTTGTCTCCCTTTTTATGCATATAGATAAATCTGCATGTGTGCATGTATGTGGTAAGTAGCTGGTTAGATCGGTCAATAATTTTTGAAGCAGCAGGAGCTATATTCTGTCGTTTGGTCAAAGAAACGACCTGATGCAAGCAATGCAAAGGTCGTTTTTGCATAGAATTGAAAATTCAAAGGCTGCTCCGGCAATCAAAATAACGATCTATTTTATGATGGCTCATCATTTCCAAATTTAAGTTTCTCCTTTCTCCAGACGACGGATATAAGCATATATTTTTGTAATACCTACGAGTTGAAGACAATGGAGGAGCAGATTCGCCACGAGCTACGTAAGTAAGTAGCTAGTCAACCAAATCACCAGCCCAGTCATCTGAACCAAATACATTTTTCAAATGAACTGAGCACAGCACAATGTGACCACAGAAGCAGTCTCGCAGTTATAATGACGAAATTCGATCATCATCAAATTGGGGAACAGCAATAAAATGGAAGAACCTCAAACTATCCATATCCATCCACCGACCAATTCACCATGTCAAAGGAAAGATGATGACTTGACGACATTTAGAACTGACATGACATGAACCTGAGAAGATTATGAAAGTTGGCAGTTTTGGCACTCGTGTTCCCTGCGTTCGGCCTGGTCTGTTCTGTGCACGTTCTCTCAACCCCAGTTGTCTTGCCACCATTCTTCCTGTCATTAAAATCTTGACAGAGCTGCTAATCCGATCCGTCTATTCATCAATGTCCTTTCAAGGACTCATCAGCTCCCTCACTAACTTTCACCCGATTTCATACAAAACCTGGGCGTGCCATTTTCACCCACGAGTTCACAATTTCAAGAGTAACTTCAGGAGCATGATGGAATATCATTCATTGCAAAATACTGGATATCGAACAGTCTTTAGTTATAAATATATAATTGCATGGATAACAATGCATAATTATTAATTATGCACGTACATATGACAAAATCAAACATTTATGAATCTGCTTAGGCACAAACGTACATACACGCTTACACGTTTTCATGTTATGAGAGATATGTATTTTTCGAGTAATTGTAGAGACTCACTTGGAAATAGAGGGGTTTTATTTTACGGCTGACTTCCCGTCGCCAACCGTCCCATGCCCACAGTCGTTCAGACGCATTTCTTGAGTCGGCCATCAACAGCGTCAACTCCGGCTCCAAGGAAAGGCATTCTTCTTCTCCGGATGGATTCAGACGACAAACTTTTCCCTGTTAACATAAAGCACAAAAAACGACTTTATTTTATTAGCCTAGTATTTATAGTCATAAACAACTTTCTGCCATTTCGCCCTTTTCACTCATTTAACAATGTGTGATAACTTTATCATATTATTATCAAGGACATTTGTCAAAATATTACAAGAGCAACTTTTTGCATGAAAAGCAGAAGATCCTCACAATCCAAACCCAAAAAGTTTTTCCGAGCTTCTTATTTCCTCCGCGCAAAACTTGCTTAACAAACACAATTTCACTTTTTGTAAATGACTGGGGTCATCTATGCATATATCTGAATGCTTACATATGTATATATATCACCAGCCATTGTTGACAGTCTTTAATGTGCATCGTGTGAGTGAAACTCGTGTATATTGTATCATTATTGCTAAAATTAATTGCATTACTACTTTACAAGGTCGGTTTACCAGGTTGTTAATTTAGGTGAACGAGCTTATTTATTTCCGGAGGTTAACATTTTATTCAACATTTAAATATGCATTCGTTGAATAATTTTAGAGTTTACCTTTTCAATGGCCGTCACAATACTTTCCGGAACACTGATGAATATTTTACAATTTGCAAGCATTGCGCTTCACTCAGCAAGTAAATATTGGGTCCATGTACGTATGTAGATGTTAGTTACATTATGCAACAAACATTAAGGATGCTAAGTTCTTCTGTACATACATGGTTAGGCAGAGTAAATATAGTTACAAGGCAGTAAAATATTGCAGATACGACAATTTTATTCGAGATCTAAAATGTAATAGGGCTGGGACCAACCACAAGGATAATCCTTCTGCCCCTGGAGTCAATTAAGGCAATAAAATTTCATCCCACTTTTCATAAATCTTTTAAAAAAGTAGTTTCTTTTTCCACTTAACCTGTTTCAATTTACGGAACTCATTTCATGCTGCCGTCGGGAATGAAAAACTAATAAGAATAATTCCCAAGTGATATTGCTCTATACTAACAAGTAATGTGGCGACTTTCTCTCAGCTTGCCCTGCCCCTCGTTCGCCTTTATTCGCAAGTAAGCAAGTAACAATCTCCCCTTGTTTCAACTTTGGCATTTCATACAACAGATAAGCTTAAGACCTTAAGACCATCAATAGACCTTTTATGAGAAAGTGAGACATACATGAACATCGTACTGATCGTAGATATGTATTTCGAGATTTCGAGTGAGGAGCATTCGAATGGATGAAATGTATACGTAATTCTGGGGATGTGAAAGTTACACTAAATCCGCTTATGGCTGGGCATATATTTCCTTCCACGCTACCAAAAAGAACGCATGCACACCATAGCACATGTACAACAAAACGTGAAAATATATAAAAGGTTTCAACTTTCGGCAAATGAAGTTTTTGGTAAGAACATTTGCAGATATCGAAAGCGTGGGTTGGCTTAGATGGACCAAATCTACACAGGCGTCTGCAGCAGGCAAGAGATAATACACGCCTTCATAATGCACTTGTAAATATATATTTACCTATAGGCATCTACAGTAGTGTATTATTTAGTTAATAGAGATCTATTCAACTCTCATCAACTAAAGTAAAAAATATTTTTAAGAAAGTGGCTTTTTTGCATACCTGACCGTATATGGAGCCCATTTCGGCAATGATAGAAGACAAATTTTTCATTTCGTCATCAGATAAAGACTTGCTTCCGACATAGGAAAGTTGTCTTTTCGTATCCTCCGTGAAGTTTGTCGGGTCGAACTGATTCGCTTCCTCGTTTGCCACGGCCTGATACTCGCTAAGTCGGAGCCCAGCTTCAATCTGTAATTATTTGCGAGAATATCGATATGAGAATATCGAATAGCTAAATCCGGTTTCCATCAAATCGTGAAGTAAATATCAGAATTTTAATGGATTTCATTATTCCAATAATTCGAACAATTATCTGCAAAAATACTTATTCGAATTATTTTGCTGTAATGGCAGGCAGATAAATTAAACCCGGCAGTACAAAATTTCATTCAGTCTTTGTCTAGTATGCAAAATTTGAACTCAATAATCTCACAATCAGTTTTGGCTCTATCGTGTCTTGGTCATAGCCGTTCCATAAGTCTTGACTCGGACTAAAAAACTAACTAGGAATTATGTGTTATACCGCAGCATCTGCATTCTCGTCCGTAAGGTTTGTGTTGTACGTCCAGTCGGCAAGCACATATTTATTAGCAAGGTCAGCATAAAGTGCGTTATACTGTTCCAGGAAAGCTTGGGCCGCCTCTTCATCTGTATTATTCCCTTGTCTGAAACACATCAATTCCATTAACTTAATAACAGTGTCACTAACTAAGCACTTGTACTCTCGCAACGGTTTCAACAACCGCTATAAAACTACAACAAAGACGAAACAGAAAAATATCATATTGATTCCATTTCCTTTCATTTACTCTTCCGCCTCCCATGACAAGTGAAATTAACCACCACCACCACCACCACTGCTGCTCCAGAGTAAATTAATTGGAGTCACTTCATAATGGGAAAGACGAGCTGATCAGCTCAACTCAACTTTCACCCAACCAACGGGTCCTTTGTTGTCCAGAGATGTGGTCCGTTCGTCCGTCGGTCTGGTCTTTCTCCCTCGTTTGGCGGATTATTAGAGGGACAGAGAACAATGATGGCTTCGAGACTGAGTCAACCAAATAAAGTAATCGAAGCTAGTTCTAGCTGCTGCTGGGTTGTTGATTTTACTCCCAAGGAAATAGGTTTCGTTGTAGTGGGGATATCGCTTTCAAAGGGTGTAGATTGCAGATATGGAAAGTGAAACACCACAATATGGCGATCTACAGTCGTCCATGGTCAGACTTTGCAAAATGTACTACGTACGTACGTGCCTGATATCGAGAAATAGCGGACTTGTTAGATCCAGACCATAATTAATGTAATTAAAGGATACATAATCAGAAAAGCTATAAGTTGTTCTGGCGTGGCAAGTAAGTACATTTACTCCGTGACATGTATTACCTTGTTGATGCAGACGCTCCACACCAAATACAGACCAGCAAACCCGCAAACACTAGAATTTTCGGCATCATGGCTTTTCTAATTTTCTCAGTTTACACGTCTGCAAATAGAATTGCGAGCAAATTATTGGTTTCACTGATACATCAATAAATATTTGGATTAACTTCAAACGGTAACATTCTGGCATAGATTTATTAAATTGCGCTTTTGCCGAAGCAGTGTTACAAAGTAGGCAGTGACCAAAACAACACGTATAAATTGAGGAGTTGGCAGGCGCATTTAGGATTTAGGATGGAAATTTTAGCAAGTTTTTTCTTCTTCTTATTATGATTACGATTCAAATGTTGCCATTATCAATGATGAATAGCCTCTTGTGGGTGATACTCGTCAGTCATAAAACTAATGTCATTAACCAGGTCAGCCTTCTTGTTGCATTACTTTGCTACATATGCAAAAATTATCCTCTACAGTGTATTTGGGGTTCACATTACCATAGGGTAGTAAGTATGTAGGTATATGCTACTTCTTGCAATCATACGACTATGCCAAGCTTTAGCATTTCCGATATCGTATAACAGTGAATTATTTAGAATTATTGCTCACCATGTACAGAGAAAAATAACTTTTACTCCAAGTCCTCTTGGCCCCAGAGCAGATTCTTAAAACGCGTAGTTGGTGTGCATACAAGGTTTTGCTGCGGAGTGTTCTTCTTTAGGTCCGTCCTCAACCGCAGAACAACCAAAGAGTAACATTTATGTAAGGTCCTGTTGTGTAAGTATTTAGTGGTTGGTTCGCAGTTCGTACTGGTGGTGGTGCAAAAGTGATGTTGTGTTATTCATGCGCCCATCATCTTGTTCAGTATGCCGTCCAATAAATTACAGGATCACTTCTACCCCAATTTAGTGTGAAGCCAACAAATACCCTACTTTCGGGTCTCATACATTCCGTCCACAAATTTTTTATTGGGGTTTACTTTGACATATCAGCAATGTAACCAAATTGTTGGTTTGAGAAGCAGAAAGTCTGTGATAGATGCAGCAGAGAAATGCATTGTCCAATAATAAGTCACATACATGGGAGAAGAATGTAGCCTGGGCTTTACAAACAAGTCATTGTTTGAGATAAGAGTGAGTCTCATCTATCACTGCCAAACAGTTCGTTCGAGAACGACAACGTTCGTTGAAGCCAATGTTGACATTCACAAATTAAGCGAAAAGGGTTTAGCACTCTTATCTCCATCTCCCAAGCAATCAAATTCTGCTGGTAAATCAAATCTGTCTCTCATGCAACGGAAATTAAGCCCTGTTCCATTCCACCACCCATTTGCTACCATTACACAACATTTCCATTTGTACATCGATCGACTCTGACGGTGGTAATGATCCAGTTTGGCAGAGATTCCCTTCATATACACAAATTAGCCGCATACACACATACATACGTATCAGTGCATTGGCATGTGTGGTAACTGGCCACGAGGCATATGAAAACTTTAGATGAAATGGAATTCTCCACAGATTCTAAACAAAGTGAAGTCTTCATCATGACTACGCAACCCTTTTGGTTGCATAGTCCTCGAATGTGCGATGCGGCATATGTTGCTCAAATCTATACATTTGTATTTAAATGACCTCAATTTCAATAACCGATTTTGAGAGGAGCTGAAATACGACAACAGCTAACGAAGATTAACAGTTAAAGAAAGAAATCGCTGGTGAGAGCCAACAAATTCAGTTAAATTTTATTTTGGACACAATGACATTTTCTATTGAACGACGACAAAACCTGAACGGTTAATGTCAAGCCAGTCGCAGCAGGTGACATTTATGTTTATGGAGTTGATCTTCTGGCGAAGGGGGATGGTTGACTTGAACACTTTATTTTATATAGGGCAACCATTTGCATATTTCAGTCAGATAATTTAGTTTTCTCCCTCCTTCTCTATATTTAGAAGAACAAAGGATACGGATGAAATCAGGAAATGCTGAATACTTCTTGGGTCGAAGACTTTCTCCATCTCTCTCAAAAACGTAGCCCACTGACTGGTTGAAATTTGGATTGATACCGTTTGGGTTGTTTACCGATTTGTCAGTGTGATGGTGGTGGCAGAGGGAGCATAGTGGAGTCAAATCCAATTTTATCGGGTTGTCCTCTCCATAAAACTGTCCGCTCAAGTGTTTTGCATAAAATATCTTCTCCCTTCTTCGTCCTTAGTGATTTTAGATGTAGTTCAGGTAACTCATTTTTCTTCTCTGTCTTTCAGAGGAGAAAATACATAGTAAATGCAAAAATCAATACGAATGGATCAGGTTCTGATCCTACTTACCGTTGACTATAATCCTTGCTTTCAGACCCCGGCTTGTCTGGGAAAGAATTTTCTGGGGAATGACGCATAGTACGGACGAACGGACGGATGGAGAGCGTGCATTTGGCTTAAGATCGACTTCTTCGCGTCTAAGCATCTTAGAAAAACTTTGGATTGCATGCTGAATATTTGAATACTTGGGACAATACTGATTCAAAGTTAAATCCGAAATATCTCGAATTTTATTCTCCCTCCTCTCGCTCCCCCCACCCGCTTTCTCAGTATCATTTTCCAGCGCATAAGTTACCTCCTCATGCCACACACGCACCCTGATTTTACTTGAAATCTGGAAACCAGTGTTGTTGTCATTTTCCACTGCTTTACACCTTTGAATGCCAAATATTTTGTATATATAAGTATTCATCCTGTGATTTCAATCACACGCATAACTCACCATTTTGGAATCAAATGGCATTTTCTTTGTAGTGAATTTGATTGCTAAAGTGCAATCTCATGTTGACTGCAAGAAGAATCGACAATATGGCCGAAGAATAGGTTGAAATTTCCGGGTCGTTTGTTGCATTGTCACCGATTTTATTGCCACTGCTGCCATCCAGGCACATTACCTTTTTGGTTCGTTTCACTGCATTTGCATACGAATGTTGAATATCATTCGTGAATAGGGACAGCAATGCGAGAGGGCGAGTGCCATATGTGTCCGGTTATTGCACTATTCGTTATTCATAAAACTGGGGTTATGTGTATTCTGAAGTGACCTTTCCAGGCTAATCGTAATGCATTTCGCAATCACGACGACACGTTTGATTATTTTATCGCGTCATATTTTTAATTAATTATATATCATCTTATCGATTTGAGAACACAATGTATCAACAGGTGTGGCAAACACTTGAAAAATATGCTATTACCTTTGATTATATAACAATGGACTGTGTACAGCACAAACCTATCTGCATACCAAGATATGAAATTCAATGTACAATGCACAATTCCGATCTTTTCATGATAGTGATGTTCTCTTGGTGCAGTTATGTCAAACAGAGTAAGAAATTCGTTTTAGTAGATTTCCAAGAACGAGCCGTTAGAGAGGATTATTCGTAGCATGTTAAATTGAATATGAAAAAGCAATAAAGCATAAATGATAAAGCACTCGTACGCAATTTCCTGGTGATTTCAAGCTAGGAACCTGGAATGTTTGGTTGTTTAATGAAATTTTTTCGGAGCACAGTTCAATGTAGGGGTCGATATATGTAAGAACAGCACATTTCCCGAACGTGAGTGAAAGTAGCTCCAGTTTTAATTTGGGAAACAACGCACGTCAAACCAAATAGAATGGCTTTGTACAATAAATCTTCATCTACTTGTTTAGGCTGCCGTGTTCATCATCCGATTATCCTGGAAGCTCAAAGTAAATATTGGATGTTGTGTAGTTTTGTGTGCTATGCAAACGAATCTTGACACCATCATTCCCTGTTGTACATAATTCTTGCCTCTTGCAGGCTTAGATAAAAATTTGCTTTTAATTGTTCAAAAATAATTTTAGTGCTTCAGCGTGCCATTTTATGCAGCCGTTTGGTGAATAGCGAACAATATGCTTTATTACGCCTGAAATATTTATAGGTTTAGGAAATGACGAGGTATGTATCATTTATTATGCTGGCAATAGGGTAATGATTAATTTATTACTTGATCACCAGAAAAACAATTTTATTAGCAACAGTTTATTTCATTATGTAAATTATGTTATTATGGTTTAGTACAATTAAGTGAAATTGCTACAATATTAATCAGCTTTCCGCTACTGACATGCCAGCAATTGCATCCTTGTAGGTGTAATATTCTCCGTAAGGTTTTGACCTTTCCACGCATGCAATAAGCTGAAAGAATAGTTCTACGTAAAGTAGTTTAGTTTTATGTAAGGGACTCATCATATCAAGCTTACTTATTTGGCAGTAATGCATTAAATCCACCTTAATCTAATTTTCTCATTCCATTTTCAGTTCACACCAACTATGGTCGTGCACTTACATATTTCCTTAATTAAAGTTTATCTAAGGTAAATGGTTCGTCAGCACATTTTGACTGATATTTAAGTAGATATATTTATGGACTATAGCTTATGTACATATAGCTTATAAGATACCATAGTTCTTATATTTATGTATTTATAAATGTGTAACTTAATTACGTCGATATACCTTGTCTACGATTAAATGATCTCTCAAAAACATGGAGCAAAATGTAACAAAACATTATTTTCATATATAATTATTATGCATTTACTATTCTACCGCAAACATTCCAGGTAGATGGGCACATACATTATGGTTATACATTTTCGATTAGCTTCGTCAACTAAGCTATTACTTACGGTACATACTTGTTTAAGAAGATGTACTTCTACTTAAAATTACTTGCATATTTCTCTGCATAATTACATATGCGTCTAATCCGACAATTCAAGAGATAACACACATCTTGAATTGATCTATCTTGTCCAGCACCTTTAATTCGAGTAAATAACTATTTTAAAAGTTAATCAGCACCAACATGTAGTAGCACAAAGCCCAACGTCCACATTGTAGCAAAATATTGTCATAAAAACCCTTCATATGATTACGCCACATGGATGTATTTTACTAGCATTATTTGTATGTACATATACTTTCTAGTATTGTTATGGAAAAATTCTTGTTCTTATGCATAAATTGGGTCACTCCTTTCCAACTTGGTTTTGTTTTCAGGTGGAAAAGGATTGGCGCTTAAAAGCAATTAAATTAACATGTAACAAATGCATGTGTGCTTAATTAATTACATCATCTCACTGTTGTGTTGTGCCATGTGAACGACTCGCAAAATTCGTTACACTTTCACTACTAGTTTGAATGGTACCATAGTTTTGTGCTATGTAGGGTTGTGTGCTTTTGAAATAAACTAGGCATCATGAAAAGGGGATGGACTTACGAGGGAACCTTTTATAGTGCCCGGAGCTCCCAGCATATCTACTATATACATTAGACGCAGTTTTTAATACTAGTCCGTTGATGTGACAAAATTTCCGTGTCAAAATGACATTTGGTCAAGCTGTGACGATTTTAGTGACGCGCCGAACGGTCACTTTCGCCATGCTTTAGTAGGGCAGGTACGCTTTCACCTTTTCACTACACGCTCTCCGCTCATCTCACTGAAATCTCAACTCATTTGCTCACCGATAAGACTGGCACTTAATTTAAATAGATTTACAATATCATTACAATTTATTTACTATTTACAAGTTTTCAATATTGTTTTTTCCTTTCAAATATTGGAGTTTGAAAACTGTGCGGAAAAAATACAGCAATTACTTATGAATGTTCTTCAAAAAGTACGCGTGAACATTTTGTAACTTTTAAATTCAAATGTAAAAATAATATTCATAAGCTACAAATAGTAAATTGTAATGATATTGTAAATATAGTTAAATTAAGTACCAGTGAGTAAATTGGTTGAGAATTCAAAAGCAAGATGAGGACCGTGTGGTGAAAAGTGTATGTATTTAATTGCGCTATTGAAATCATCGGAGAAAGTGACCGTTCGGCGCGTCACTAAAATCGTCACACTTTGACCAAATGTCATTTTGACACGGAAATTTTGTCACATCAACGGACTAGTATTAAAAACTGCGTCTAATGTATATAGTAGATATGCTGGGAGCTCCGGGCACTATAAAAGGTTCCCTCGTTAGACTTGGTTTAAATCCACCATTTCATCAGAAATCTATTCTAATACATAGTACCTACATTTCAAGACGCATACATGTACATGTATGTACTTATATGTAGTTATGTATGCGTATGTATATGCATTTATTATATACTTGCTTGTATGCATCTCTCTCTACATACACATGCACCTTACAATTTACATATGCATGTAAGCATATTTGAATCTATATAAACTCACTCAGACTTTCACTCATTCACTGGATTACGAAATTGTACTAATGGAATCCATCTTCAATTCATAAATCTCACTCCCACCCGGAATGGACCAGTTTGGCCTTCTTGAAGATTTAGCTTGGCGTTTTCCTGGTCGATTATTCGAGGGTCCTGGAAATATTGGAGCGTACATCCCGGGGGTGCACTGACGCACACCACTTTTTGACGACGAAGAGGAGGAGGAAGATGCCGTAGCGGGTTTGCAGACTGAGTGACCAACATCAATGCCATAAGCGGAGGACGTGGATGGGAGCGGTGGGAGAACGGTGGATGTGGATGACGCGGCCAACAATGGTTCGTTGTCAAAGGACAGGTGAGCTCCGGGCTGGCATCCTCCATCATCTGTCGAAAACAGGGACGAGGACGGGGACTGGTCCCTCCTGGTGCAACAGGACCAGAGTTCAGGCCACATCTCATCCCCCAAGAAATACAGGATGAGCCAGCTCTGGAATAGGACACAAAACAAGCAGTCATAATAACGGTTTGCTATTGACAAACAAGGAGGTCTAATCCAGTTAAATTGTGTAACAGTGCCAACGTCATATTTAAAACAAGACCAGTTGTGGCATTTTGTGACATGGATAGTAATTGTGTTTGATGGGTTGTGGGAGAGGAAATCAGGTGGCCTGTCGCAGGAGCCGTGTGGAATTGGTAGTCAAAGTCAAAGAGGCAGAAAGGGGGTTCCTAGCAAATAGCCTGATGATCCACCCGAGTTCGTTACGCTAAAGAGATTTTCTGCTTCATCAATCAAACGAACGGTTGCATATGCGAATTGACACATTTTTACCTATGTTCACTTTTTAACTCTGTCCTCAGTCTGACGATACTGTACTTTTGACATTCCGCTCCGCTGCACTTTAAACAGGGTTTACCCTTGTCAAAAGTGTGCTAACAAGGAATTCATTCTGAAAATTCACCGCATCAAATATTCCATTTCAATTACTATGCTGACACTACCCGCATGAAATTGGTCTCAATTTTGGTATCTGGCACAACAATAAAAAAAACTGTATTTCATGGAGCAGAATGGTTTTAGAATTTGTTTAAAGCGTCGTAGGTGAAAATTATTATTCGTGTAACCATATTTAATAAACCTCTGTCATATTTTTGTTGGCCTTTGTATTTGGTATTTGATCATACTCAACCCATTGTCTAGGTTTTCATCATTTCATTTCAGTTACACAACTATACAACGAAATATGATTTCCAGTGACTGTCACAGTTGGCAAAGAGAGGAGACAAGTCAGGAGAAAGTGATATTGATATTGGTGACGAAGTGGAAATAAGATACCATCGACATGGCCGTTCTGAGAGAACATTGGTATTTGCACCAAACGCCCCTTCCGAGCTTCGCAGTTGTGTGTGTGTGTGTTTGCTCGAGTGTAATATTACATTCCATTATTCTAATGAAAAACAGCCGAGATAGACTTGAGGTAGACAGAGTGTGAGTGGAAGTGGCAGTGCATACTGGATGAAGACGACTTTTTCTTAATATTGTGCCATCATAATTTCTTGACGACTTTCTTTCATGGCTGAATCGTTCCCAGTCATTGGAGAACGCAGAAAGAAAGAACTGGTCATGATGTGTTCGTGTGTGGTGAAGGTTCACAGCAAAATTCTGGCTACACGGCTTCTGTCTGTCTATATTTAGCGTTAAAAACGTTGCTCTTAAAACAATGTTGTTGGCTTTTTCTGAGCTTTTTCTCCGTCATCGCCACCACCCACGACCACCACTTTCACCATCATCGTCTATTTTGTGAGTCGGAATGCGAGTTCGTTTTATGTTTACCCTGCACCACCAAGGAAAGTCATTTCGTATGCAAAACTAATGGAGAAAATTGCCATATTATAATACCAAATTTAGAGCACTCGGAATTTTTTATACTGAAAATACTTGGCCAAGATCACAGGCTCAATTGAGATTAGACGCGCCAGCATCTGCGACGCCATAATTCTTTGTAAAAGTTATTACTGACTTCTGAACTAATTTTGTTTGGAAATTGGCGACGATAAAATTGTACCTACACACTTATTCATCGTTTTCTCTCATGTCATGCATATTGCGGTGGTGGTGGTGATCTTTCCTTTGTCGCATATTTACACCCACCACTCCCACGAGTCGAGGAGAAGCAATATATTAAATTGCATGAGTCATATATTCAATCGAATTTTAAGCAAACGACCACCTCATCCCATTTATTGGTCTTCCCTTAATAAAAATATTCTCAAAGTTGGTCCTTTTAGATTGGAACTCGTGCAACAAATATAGATAACTGGCTGAACATGTGTACACATATTCAAAACATGTTTCTGGATTGATTCTTGCTGAAGCGTACAAGAGGTGTCTTCCTCCTTCCCCGAATTTTTCTAAACATTTTCCCCTTATGCTCCAAGCACTTTCGGTTCTTCCTGCAAAAATGTGAGCAACATTATTGTTTCCTCGCAACAACTTACCAGAAGTATGTTGGCGGAAGCAGACGCAATTTGGAAGAATATTGAGGAGGCATTCTCTGAAAGAAATGACGGGAAAAATATGTGTGTAAGTACGTAGCATCAGGGGCAACCACACCTCAGACTTACCCAGAGAGACAACCCCCAAGAACCACATGATGCTGAGGAGTGGGAGCAGCATGGCCGACGCTCGAATCCGACCGCTGATTTTCCTCTCGTCCAGTGTGTCCTCGTCCATCTCAGCACTCGTGGAGTCCGCCCATAACTTTCTTGCAGCCAACAAATGTCGAAGTGAAAGGACCACCAGGAATGTGTTTGACTGTAATTTCCAAAAAAAGATACACACATCAAAACTCGACTCACTCACTTTCAGGAAAGTGGGAAAGTGTTCGTTACACAAGGAAGTTGCACAATAACTGGCCCTCAGAGATACAAACGTATGTAGGTGTACATGTAATAACTTTGGAAAGTAAGATATTATTCGATTACGTACGTTGCAGATCAACACAGAAAAAGTATTCGGATTATTTGTGCTCATTTTTTGTAGTAATAGTAATACTTTCTCCGTGCATAGTTCTGCCTGATTGCACTACAATACTCATGAGACATTCTTGCTAGATATAATAATTTTTGAATGGTGTATGTACTTATGTATCGTCGTACATATGCTGCTTATTTGCTACAATTGTAAATAGTTGAAGCATTTTGTAAATAATCTCACCTTCGTCTAGTTACAAACTTTTTTGTTGAATAGCTAAACAGATGACGTTCACGTATTTACAAATATTAATGAGCACTCAAATCAGCTCCTGACAGAAAGGATTTGACAGTTTTCACTTATCTACAGAATTCAATTCTATGTCTTGATTCGTATCGTTACAGTTGTCCACACAAAAAAATGTCGACTACATACGATTGAATTTTTTGGTGACAGCAACTTCACCACAACTGCGTGAACAACATTTTTCTTTTGACTTCAATAAAGGCAACCACTTTAATGTAATGATCATGATCTTGCTTGAACAACTCCTTCCTTTTCTCTCGCCCCAGTTTGATTGACAATGCTTTATCTCCTGGTAAGGCATTCCCATTACAGTTCTTGTCGAGAATTGGATACAATTCTTCCTTCCACACGCCGCTACTGCAGCATTTTTAGAGGGTGGATTTTGCCGCAGTACTCATCGCACCTCAATTTGTTAAGAACTCATTTCGAGAGCTCTGTATTCCAATTCTGGAGGAAACAAGAACATTCACCATGAATCAGCCGACATTAAACAAAGTGAACCCAACAATTTTTTTAATGCAATTCTGAATCATCCAAGTGCTGCTCACTCGAAACCACCAGTCGTCCACCATCGGCAAGGAAAGCACGGTTTCTTTTGAATTTCTTACGGAACTGCTCTTTTATGGTCTCCCTTGACAGAAAGTCGAACAGTAAATCTTAATTTTTCTGCAATAACGACGTCAAAAGAAGTATTGGAGCCAGCCAAGTAAACTGAAATTGGCCAAAGGTCTATGCGCGCGGCCTCCTCTCTGTTTCGGTGAACAGAGATACCGTTAAGAATCTAGAACCTGGAAACTGGCCAACTAGAAGTATAGAGTTTATGCCATCCATTCATGAATGAACAGTTTTCGTTGACATCAATAGTTTCCTCACTACCAGTGACAGCTCCCCCATAAGTAAGCATGCAAAAACTCTGAGCCTCTCCCCGATACACAAATGTAATCATGAAATGACGACGACGACGACGACGACGGAGAAAGTTTCCGCTTCTTGGGACCAGCATCATTTGCGTAGTCTCCTCTCTTTGGCCAACCGCTCGTCTTTTCAATGCGAAAAAGTTTTGGTTTGCAAAGCCAAACGTAGTCAAGTTGAAATGAGATCTCCCATTTTCAAAGTATTTAAAGAATGAACCAACTTAAGCGTTCATTTGACTTGCCATAACAGAATAATTCAGGGAGGAAGTTGGACTGTCGTTTCCTCTCAAGTATTAATGACCCCGTGCACATCTCCTGCCACTTAAATCATGATTTACTCAATGAAAAATGAACAGAGAAACCTCAACTTTTTTCATTACAACTGATGAACACTTTCAGCTCCAGCCACAGACACGACAACTACACACATATATCACTCATCAAACAGCCTGCCATCACTTGCCGATTTTTTCTTCCTGTCGGGTAGATCTGGCAAGGAATTGGGGTTCCTAAATGGTGAGCGATAGGTATTTAGCTCGAGTGACGGACTATATAAAAGCTAAGAATAGCCCACCACTACGAACTACTGGACACTTGGACAAACTACTTGCTGACGACTGGGCTGAGCATTTATAAAAACGAACCAAGGAGAACATTCATCTTAATGTCGACCATTACAAGAGCAGGCAGCAACTATGCAGGAACAACTTTGATAATGCGTCTTGTGGTCAAACTTGTCCTTAAAAATGTAGCTTACGAGAGACAAGTGATTGAAACAACACTAATCCATCCACTAGTCCATTAAGTATGTACATTTTTTACTTAGTCCATAGGAGCGAGGTTGAAGATCACACATGTCATGAAAGACGACAGCACAGAATATTGATTACACGGACTACAAACACTTACATATACAGTTACGTAGTTTAGTTTAGTTGAGCAACGAGTGGGACTAGTATTGTAGAGCATTGTGAGTGAACCAAGTGGGTGGGAGGGAGGGTGGGAGACCAAGATGTATTGTGGGAGAAAGTTTGGGAGAAAAACTGTTGAACTATCGACGTACAGTTTGCATGCAGATCACGTCTGACAGAATCGGAAATTGCTCCTTGATCATATATTATGTTCTTCCTTTTGTGAGATGAGACGATGTTAACTAAAATAACACGAGAGAAAAAAGATGGGATACGAGAGTGTGAGCGAAGAATGCAAAAAATTGTTTTATTTTAGGATTCAGAACTGAGTTGACCACATAGAAAATAGACCATGTTTGGAGAATTTAAGGATGATGGAGAATAAGCATGACCAATGAAAATCCGTGTGTCTAATTATTATTCTATCCGTCGAAAAAATAATCACTTTCCGGTGATTATTGTCAAAATTATCCTCAGGGCACGAGAATGCAAGGCACTGAAGCGTGCGAGGGGAAATCTTATTAATAGCGACACAGCATGGGATCGATATATAAATTATTGAACCCGTTCAAAATTAACGAGATAACCAATATGGGGAGAAAATTGGCTCAGAAGTAATTATTGAAAGAATGTGAAGCAAAAAAGACTTTGAGAGGGTTTTGGATAACCAATATCATCAAATCACGAGTAGAGAAAGTAAGAGAAAGTACTGAATCGAGCCGTTGATGATGACAGGAATTGGGAGATGAGATTCGGGAGCTCATCATCATTTTTTGTGATTCCATTTCGATATGCTCCGTGGAACGTACATTTCCGTTGCGGAGTCGCCTCCTCTGGAAAGCAAGCAAGCAAACTGCTATCTTCAATCTCGATTCCCTCAATCAACTTTCTGGTTAATTGGATCAAGATCTCATGATAATTTTTGGGTTGTGCCAAACGAACCGAAGCGAATTACTGCGGATTGAGGCTACTGCGTACCAACGACTGCAGCAACGCCATACATATGGATATTCTTCATTTTCCCCCGTTTCAAACCACGGAGCTGTGGAGAAAGTACTGCACACCTCTATTTTTTTAGAAAATAAGTTAAACATGACATTGGGTGATTCCACAAAACATGATATTTGGCTTGTCACGCCGCCTGTCCAAAATTAGAACTAGAATTACAGCAATTGTGGACAAATTGGGTAATCAAAGGGTGAAATAATTGTAACAATAATCATATAAGTGATCTTGAGGTGCAAAGTCCATGTCGTATAAAGCAAATAAAGTGACAATTGGAGTTTGGGCTCGTAATGAAGTAACCTTCCGTCTGCAGACTGACGCAAACTTGGACTGAATTGGCTCAGAACTTATCCACCTTAATTGCCATCATTACAGAAAGTAATAAAGTTGCCCTTATCCTTTTGGTTTTCTTTTCTGCGAGAAAATGTTGCAATTCAGAAAGGATGTAAGAAAGTAAAACGTAGAGGCTAAAATACAGAGGGATGACGAACAATCTTAACTCAGGAACGGTCAGTGCGGATTCCTTATGTTTTTATGCGAATGCCCTTCTCTTGAACTACACGCTGATGTCTTTAGTTCAAGATCTTTTGCGCTTTCTTGACCATGTTTTAAAACTTTCCAAACTTTTCTTAAAATTTTGTTTCGCTGAAGAAAATATATTTTGTAATTCCCGAACTCTAAAAAATCCATGAAAAAAGACATCCCTCTATATACATATACAACTAATGAGGATGTGGTCAAGTGTGTAGAATATGTGCACTGCTGGAACAATAGAGAAGATTCAGTATGTACTTATTTCTGTTCGTGGTAGTATTTATGTAGTAGTTACGACCATGTTCATTATTTGGCGTTGCTGCATTGGCGTCGCCTATGCATGCACAGGCTGTCTGGAGCCCTTGCGTATAGCATATCTGGTCGTTATCCACATCATATCGGAGCGAGAAGAGGAAGATTCACCCGTTACAAAGTCAGTTAATATTAACGAGATCTATTCTGCTACTACGAACCATCATCACACTGCCAGTCACAGAGTGGGCTTGAGTTGGAGAAAGTAGAAAATGCGACCAAAAGTTGCCACATTTTCTCGCTGTTTTAATACCGGCTTTCCAAGGTACTTGCTTGCCATCTGATTATGGCCCTTTTAAAAATAATGACCCTCTCGTAAAACTTGCTCCGGGTGAATAATGCCACCATTTTGATGCAAAGCTGTAAAATTTTGGCTGAAAGGTTCATTTGAAACTTTAATTAGCTTACATGACACAAAAGAATGTTAATTGCTCACTAAAGAATCCAAGACATTTTAATTACTCTGTGTCAGTTGAGATAGTTGAGATGGCTTGATCAGGTAATTTCCCATGTGCAATGGGGTCTGACAAGTTTATAATGAAAATTATGTGTTTTTAAAACTCTTTTTTTGGATTAAATAAATCATGCTAAATATCAAAAAAAAATATCAAGATACTCGAACCAATTTTTCCATTATTTTCACACATTAAGAAATTTGTTTTTTTATATAGAATAATACTTAAATATTCCAAAGTATGACAATAGTCTTTCTTTGAAGGGGTGTTATTCAATATAAGTAAATATAATTTAATAATTCGTCATATTTCTCGTCTTCATCATTATGATCCAAGAAATCACAACGTCGAAACACGGAATGAGAAGGGCAAGTCAGCAGTTTTCTCCCCATAATATACACCAG